CTCATCGTCCGAATTGTCACTGAGAAGCGCTTTCTTTTGCTTCTTTGCTGGCGGCTCCATGATTGATGCGACGGGATGTTCAGTTTGTCTCACTCCTGTCGCCACACAGCCAGAAAATCGGACTGTAACCCGTGTTGAATATCCTCCAACAACAGTCCCTCAAGCAGTGTTTTTCTTTGGCTCTCCGCCCTTCATTGCCCTTGTGCGCGCTGAAAAATTTGACTTTGCTGGTCTTGGAGCTTGCTGAAGGCTAGCCAATCCGGGCTTCCGTCCGATGTACGGTGACTAAGCACGCTGGGTCGCCTCCGAACTTCAAGCTAGAAAGCAGGAGATCGTGAAGCACAACTTGAGCGTCATATGGGCGGTTACTGTCTGAAAGAGCATTTTTCTTGATGTATTTTATTTGAAGGCGTTTGGACTGTTTATTTCTCATACTCTACGTAGACTTTTTTCCCCGTTTTTTGTTATAATCCGTCCCTAGCAAAGCTTCTCACTCTTCTCTTTAGCTGAGGCTATGGTTCATCGGTAATGTCGCCAACTCCGCAGTTCTCAGTTCCCAAAGTTGGGGGCATTGTCAATGTCATGTAGGTTCCGTAACATTTATTTAGGCATCCCCGTGTTATGCTAATGCTAAATTGGTCCGATACAGTCCCGTCGGCCTTAAAGAAGCTGCGCTCGATTCTCCCTCTTTCCGCTCTTCGGCCGTACATTTCTGCGACCAACTTGACTACGTTGAGAAATGGCTGGAAGGCTACGTCAAAGCTACCGGAAAGCTAACATCGGAGGTGTCTTCATTGGAAGCCATCACGAGCTCTTTCATATCCTATGCCAACTCTCCATTGAATGTTTCCGAAGCCGTGCTGGACCATGACTATGCTATGCTTGCAATGAAGAGATACGGAGAAAGTGTGAAGGACTTCTGGTCTGGGGCAATTTCATCGCTTAAAAAGTGCGATTCTTTAATTGCCGAGCCGATTCGCGCGTTTCTGCAGGGGGATATGCGCTCCTTCAAGGTTCTTTACCCGTGTGAGAATAGCCTCAAGAGGCCTGACTAACGTAAAGTGGTTACAGGAAACACGCCGTATTCTTGACCAGACTCAGAAGCAGTACGATCACCTGCAGTCCAGATATTCTTCCCAAACCAAATCAAAAGAGCCATCCTCTCTCCGAGAAGATGCATTTCAGCTCCACGAGGCAAGGAAAGCCTATCTGAAGGCCTCTATGGACTTCTGTATACAATATCCACAGTTAAAGGTGACATTAGAGAAGCTGCTTGTTCAAGTATCCTTTGGTCAGTGGCGGGAGTTCAAAGTTGCACGCGATAATAGCATGCTACTTTTTGCGAAGCATGGTAAAGAGATGGATCGCATCAAGGGCTGGACCCATGAGATGGAAATAAGTGAAAAGTCCTCACGTCGTGAAATCATAGCGGCAAGGAAACAGATCGAGGATTCCGCCGAATACGCCGCTCGGCCATCTCGCGAATTGGAGGATTATTCGGTTTCCACAGTTCCGTTTCTCGGTTCCCAAGGAGCTGCTTCCCTAAGCAAAATGGCAAAGGACCATAAATTTTCGCCCGAAAAACAGGGCTGGCTTAGCCTAAGGATACTCACGGGCAAGCCTACGAGGACTGTTTGGGCGCGACGCTGGGCGTTCTTGAAAAACGGGATATTTGGCTGTCTGGTGCAAGGTTCCCGAACCGGAGGGGTAGAAGAGAGCGAAAGAATTGGCGTGCTCTTATGCAGTATCCGGCCAGCGTTTCAAGAAGAACGCCGATTTTGTTTCGAAGTGAAGACAAAAAGCAACACTATAATGTTGCAGGCAGAAACACAGAAGGAGCTTACTGAGTGGATTGGATCGTTTGAGGCTGCGAAACGAAAGGCCCTGGAGAATCCAAGCCAAGAATTTCTTCCTTCAGCTAAAGTTCCCGCTCAGGATCCAGCATTTGCTATATCCCAGCCCCCAGCTCCAGAATTTACCGCGGATATTTCTGAATCGTTGACGCCCAATGCTAACGAAGAGCATACGGGGTCTGAACGGAGTGCCACATTACCTGTTGACCGAGATGGTTTGGGCGTTCGTAACAGCGGCGATTTTACACACTCACGCCGTTCGACCGCTTTTGATAGAGAGGGAGATGGTGGCCGTGACCATACTCCTAGGATTATACAAAAACTAGATATTAGGAAAGGAAATTCGGCCTCTCATACTGGGAGCGCGTCTCCCCAATCAGGCTCTGGGATTTCCAGTTTAATATCAGCGAGCCACCACTTGCTGCCTTCGATGTCGACCAGCAATGTCGAGACTGAAAGCAGCAAAAGTAAATCCATGGGTCCAACGCCCTTTCGCGACATCCCTACGACTACCCTTGCTCCACCCACCCTTGTCAGCCCACCGAACCCAACAAACATGAGTAGAGCTGCAGTATCTGTTAGTGTTGAAAGAGGCATTGGCGTCGGCCTCGCGGATAGCACAGGAAATGTGCCTAGCGGTATGATGGCGAATCTATGGGGAAGCTCAAACTGGGCATTGGTCAACAAATTAGAACGAGAGGCCTCGCAGAAACTGGCAAACGGGATAGACGAATATAAGGTACGTGGAGACGTTCTTGATTTCCGACCCGCCAGCTAATCATATCACATCAGTCTTATAACGGATCGTCAAATGATCCTTCGACACCAACAGGCCATTCTCCCGTCAGCCGTCACAGGCAAACAGTTAGCCTCGGGGGGGCCGATGCCCTCCAACAAAAACCGCAGCCAAGGCATCACGAGTATCCCAATTACTATCCGTCTTTGTTAAAACCTCAGGATGCCCAGTTTCGCCTTTTATTTCCAGAAGTGGCTGGAGACGAACCTCTTGTTCTTGTATTTCGAGCAACCTTCAGTCCCAATGACCAGCACGATTTCCCTGGGCGTGTATACGCCACAACAAAAAGCCTTTATTTTTATAGCAGCTACTTCGGTTTGGTTTTAACATCATCTGCAAACTTGAGCAGCATAACCGAGGTGACTGCTGCGTCTGGCAGGGATTGTGACTTTCTATACCTACATATAATCCCCGAGAAGGGGAGCGATATTCCAGGCCGTCTGACGATTAAAACCTTTTTAGAGCCTTTGAGATTACTTCAACGACGGTTGAATTTCCTCGTTAACAATGCAACTTCAGAGGAGCCCGCTACCTTGGAAACCGTTCTCAAGACCCTTATTAGGATGGAGCAGGAAGGACCAACAAGAAATCCAAGCATGGATAGTTGGGAAGACATGTCTTTGAGTAATTCCGCAGAGGGCTCGGGCGTCGGGAAGGCAGAGAAGTTATTGAAGCCCGGAATTTATGTGGACAAAACTCTTGAAGTGGATCAGGGTGACTCGAAGCAATATGTCGATGCGCCTCGATTTAGGCTACCTGCTCAACCAGTCGAATACGTTCCGCAAGGTCGACTATACCCCAGTGCAGAAAAGTACTTTGATATCAGCCCGAAAGCATTATTTCATGTTCTTTTTGGAGATAAAAGCCCAGTATGGCAATTCCTTCAACTCCAGAGACGGGCTCAAAGTAAGCGCTCCAAGCACCTATGAAGATGTTATATAATGCTAACTTTTGCTCCAAGATATCGAACAGAGCGTTTGGTCTAACGCGGAATCGGCTCATATGAGGCGCCATTTTGAGTATCAGATTGAGGTCGCAGACTTTTTCGGTAAGGGGTAGTATCTAGTTGCTCAGGAGCGTCGGAGCTAACATATGATATTTAGGCCGTCCTCATCTCACCCGTGTATCTGATTACCAGATCGTGGACGTTCTCAATGATCATCTGTGCTACGTTATAACCGACAAACGCACCCCTTGGCATCTTCCCTTTAAGGGGCAGTTTCAGCTCGTTGGCAAGGTTGTGATAACACATGTTGCAAAGTCAAGATGCAAACTGGCTATCTTCACAAAAGTTGATTGGTTATCCAAGCCTTATCTAATGCAATGTGAGCGCCTTTTCCACCTCATCCAGGGTCTACAGTGTTAACAAGGATCAGCTATTATCGAGCGAGAAGCGATGAAGGATCTTGAACAGGATGCCCTCGATTTGATCGACCTTGCTTCCGACCAAGTCAAGAAATTGGGTCATCATCACATAACCAAAAAGGCAGTGTCGATGTTTGGAAATATTGGCCAGGAGACGCAAGCTTTCAAGCTAACTTCAGATTCGTTAGCGCTGAATCCAAGGTCTCAAGTTCGTCGCCCGTTGAGGCAAAGTGGACTTCTGCCTCTACTCCTCGAAACTACAGGTTCGTTTTTGCAGAGTGCTATTTCTTCCCTGATGATTTGGTTTTGGGCTCTTCTGCGCTGGATATGGAAGACGTCCAATGCGAACCGGGTTATCCTGTCACTGTTAATTTGCAGTGTTGTCTTCAACGGGTTCTACTCGTATCGTGATACATTTGACTGGTGGCATGAACGAAATGCTAGCAATTTTATGGCGCGCTTGGGCGTTCGACCAAACAATATCCTCACGAAGGCAGTGTATGTCAAGGATATTGATAACGCGATTGTCAATGATGGAGGTGTCCAATCTAACACGAGTTCCTGGTAAGTCGCATGACTTGGCATTCCTCTGTCGTTTGACGACACTCCTTCGCTAACTATACTTTTCTAGTTTCTCAGTATTTCAAGAGAACAACCTACATACAGCGAACGATGGCGGCCTTGTCCCTACGGACACACCCAGGAAAGCAAACAGCCCAGCATATCGTTTTCAGCGTACAAGGCAAAGACTGGGCTCGTACCGCCACGATCTTCTTGTAGCGTTGAAGGTTGTCAATAGCATTGAGAAGGAGGTACTCAGAGCAGAATGGGAGCGATGGGTCCGTCAAGAAACCCGCAGATGTCACATGATTGACGATATGCTTCACCATCGTGGGAAGGATTTCGACAAGGAAACCGTTGAAGAGATAAAACAGCGATTGTCTGGCCGAGAAGATGATATCGAGCATTGGTATAAGGACTATTGCCTTAGTTGTGAGCAGGAGCGGAGAAAAATGGCGGATGTGTCTGGTTAGCGATTGCATTGGAGTCCGTCCCGGAGCATTTGTGTTTTTCATCCGTTTCTTCTTTTGCATTTGCATTGGCATATGGACTTGCTTGGACGTGATACCCAGAGGCTTTGGAGCGGTGTTTGGAAAGTATGGTTATCAACAGGATCAGGATATATTTTTGATGCGGGTTAGTCATTGGATAACAGTCCATTTGTACTTGGATATAGATTGGGTATCGCATTCGCAACGGTATGTGCAGGTAATTAACGTTATTATTAAAACCTTCGCGGCAGAGCCATGACCTTTTTGTTAATTTTGTCTCGGTTTCACATTCCCTTCCAGCATCACATAATATACCACTGTTCCGTCTCCACCCATGCCTCGATTCACCATCGCCAACAGAGCCCGCTTCCCTCCCCATGGCTTTTCTTTCTTTAGTCTGACGAATTCCACTACCTTTTCGCTGGCGCTGTGCTCCTCAGTCGCCACGTCTTCAGGCATATCTTCAGTCTTATTCGGTAGCGAATCGAACAAGCCCGATAGTTTGCGTAAGCTCCAAGACTGGCCTTGGGCGCAGGGAATGACCCACTCTTTTTCTACTGGGATAGTCTCGGGGCGGATGTCATGCTCGAGAATGTACGCCTGTTCGTCGGGGTGTGTGTAGACGGTTTGTGGGGGGAGACCGGAGATTAAGGGCGTGTGCTGCTGGGAGGAGAGGGCGTATGGCTCGTGGATTTGAAGGGATGTCCAGAGGTGTTGATGCTGGAGGTTGTGGAGGACTTGAAGACTAAGAGCACTCGTAGGGCTGGAGGGCCGAGCTGCAGTTTCGGAGATGAGGGAAGTGAGGGCGGAGAGTGAGGGGGAAGAAGTCGGTGCAGCCATGGTTCCGTTCGTCCGGCAAGAATAAAGATGTGATTACTATGGAAGTGTGAGACTTAGCATGTTGGGCGACACGACGTCGACTCCGTCTGAAGCGTGCTGGTTTTCTGTGAGCACATCACAAGATGAAATCGAACTTCGAGATCCCCATCTGATAAGATCATCGCGAATCTAAGGTTTGCTAGCGCTGCTGCTTAATTCGCAAGAGAACAGACTGGCCACATCGTCATCCGCAAAGCATTCCGTCGCTCTTCAAAACACCCAATCTTGCGCCGACTGGGCTATGATGCAGGCTTTCTACTCGCCGATAGCTCGCTGCATCTTTACGTAGCGGACCACTGTACGGACTATCCTTTCAGCTTCCAATGGCTATGCTCCGCGCGTGAATCCTCCACCTGTTTCTGCCGCCCAGTGATATTCTGCAAATTATACCTAGAGCAGTTTCTTTGCGCCGCCGGCGTACATTTCAACGATGGCTCGCGAAAAGCAAAAAGTGCCTTTGCAGCGGGTACCCTCGTCGAAAATCATGCAAATTCCTCCAGATTTACCGGAGGCCAATCCAAGAAGCATCAACAGTCCGCCGGTGGACCCAACAACAGGCGCTGCACTGGCAAATTCTGCTTCAACAGAGCATGCAGGTCTCCTGCAACTGGTCATCTGTGTTGCGGGTATCTATGCCTCCTTGTAAGCTCAGTCTCCTTCCCTCCAGATTCCGCGCTTGACTGACTCTTTTCAATTCCAGCTTGTCTTGGGGAGTGCTTCAAGAGACCATAACCACTACCAACTGGCCGATCCGACCGGCCACCGCGCAAGACTCAAACCCCCCTACGGAACGATTCACCTTCTCCGTCTTCCTTAATACTATCCAATCTTTTTTTGCTGCGATAACCGGCTTTTTGTATTTATCTTTTTCGACTCCTCGAGGCCAGAGACGCCTCCCAATTTTTCCGACTCGTCGCATCTTGATCCCCTTGATCCTTGTTAGTATATCAACCTCTCTCGCCTCGCCATTCGGGTACGCGAGCTTAGCGCATATCGACTATCTCACTTTTATCCTCGCCAAATCCTGCAAACTTCTCCCTGTCATGTTCCTCCACCTCACTATTTTCCGAAAACGATACCCGCTTTACAAGTACGGTGTAATCCTGCTTGTTACCCTTGGCGTTGCTACGTTTACTTTACATCATCCTACGTCGAGTAAAAAGAAGAGTGGCAGCACGAACGGAAATGGTTCTTCCGCCTATGGGCTTTTCCTTCTCTCAATCAACCTCCTTCTCGACGGCTTAACCAACACAACGCAGGACCACATTTTTTCTTCTCCCAACATCTATTCCAAATTCACCGGCCCGCAGATGATGGTTGCACAGAACTTTCTTTCGACACTGATGACGAGCTGCTACCTCATCCTCATCCCGCATATCTCATCCTCAATTCTTCCTGTTCTCCCGCTACCCGTCCCCCCTTCACAGACTAATGAACTTGCGTCTGCGCTGTCATTTTTGTCTCGCCATCCGCACGCCACCAAAGATGTTGTGGCATTCGCCGCATGCGGAGCAATTGGCCAATTATTCATATTCTACACCTTGGCGCACTTTTCGTCCTTGTTGCTTGTCACAGTGACTGTGACGAGGAAAATGCTTACTATGCTGCTAAGCGTGCTGTGGTTCGGTCATCGACTCACCAGTGGACAGTGGCTCGGCGTAGGACTAGTATTTGGCGGAATCGGCGCTGAGGCTGTGGTTCAGAAAAGAGAAAAGGCCAAAAAAGCCAAAGAAAAGGAAAGTTTGAAGAACGGCATGTTAGTTAAAGGGAAAAAAGAGATATAGACGGTATGGAACCTAGATTCTAGAGCGATTTGATAGCCATGTATATATATGCATTCGAATAGATAGACGAAAGTTTTGGCACTGTTAGGCTTGAACTATTCTGCTGATATTGTTCCCGTTGGATCAACAAAGCAATTCTCTCATTTCCTTCCCTCCACCATGATTATATGGTAGCCAAAGCCCGTCTTCACTTCTGCATATTTTGGGTTAGCTGTCGTGCTGGGCTCGAGCTCGTACGCGACCTTTTCGAATTCTCCGTTCAAGCTACCCCTGACCTTCCAGCCTAACGATCCGCCTATGGGGAAACGAAATATCGTCGGTTAAATACAAAAGTCGCACGAGAGCAGGAGACAAACGTACCTTGCCTGGCCTTGTCTTCCGAGTATTCCCGGGCAACCTCGTCGAATTTCGCGCCGTCTCTCAACTTGCCCAAGGCTTCTTCCTTTTTGGAATGCTTCTCGCACTGTAAAAACGAGATTTTTGCCTTTGATTAGCAGTTTGGTTCATGCTGCCTTTTTTCTCTTTCATACGCTTTCCTCTTATCCAACTCTCCCATATTGATTGTGGATGGGCTTCAGATGGGGGGGGGGATCGAGAACATACGAGAATGTGCCGGACGTTGATGGAGTTGGCGGCCTTCAGGCCTTTGGTTTTTCCGCCGGCATCGCCGCCTTCAGAGGTATCTTTTGCTTTGCCCCTGCCCTTGTTTTTAGGAGCCATATTGCAAGTTTGTTGACGAGTTTTGGAGGTTGGTGGGGGATGGAGGATGAGGTAACTACAAGCTCAGGTGGGATTGCGGCGAAATGCTGGATTTCTATGGAATAACTACTGCCAGACACCATTTTTATGATTATCTATTTTCTTGCCCTACCATAACTAACGTAATAAGCAATCTGCAGACCAGAAGCATAATTGTATTAAAACTTTCAACTCAGCCTGGGAAGTTGTATTAGGGACTCCCGTGACGCGCAGCTGCACCCTCAGCCTTTGACATACGCTCAACCTGCAGGCAGGATTGAATTGCTGTTGTTGACCCCGTGCTGCATAATCGCTCGGGTGACCATGCCCCTTTCCCGACCCCGCAAAAAGAGCCGTGAAGTGCGGAAGAACCTCGAAGAATTCTCATGCTACATTTAAATCAACCTTGGGGGAGCCCGCTGAAATAGATACCCAGGCATCAGGAGACTTAAGTAACCCCCAAGGAGATCAAAAATAAGCACGCTATTTGTTGCATCTCCCTGTCTCAGCCCCATCTGATCCAGTCGAACCTCCGAGGATGCACAATTCCTGCTGTGATAGGTGTGGGTAGGACGGAATATCGTCGAAATCAAAATCTATACAGCTGCAATCCATTTCAAATGACGGAATCAACGGGCTCCCACATCTCGATTACAATCCAGAATTCCAGCGGGCACCACTATCAAGATTCCAACTGTCATTGTCAATGTTTTCAACGGCCAGTGCCGCCCAATTCACCCAGCCGCATTGAGTGGGAAAGAAGATTGAGCCACTCGGTGCCGATCATATGGAGCGATAACACAGTATGAGACCCCGAGGCTCTATCCGCCGGGCTTTGAAGGAAGCTCAGATGGGAATTGGAAAGTTATAAAAGCGGCAAACAATCGTGCTCCGTGTCAATTTCCTTTCAATCCCTCATTCCCTTAGCCATCGCTTAAAGCTGCAAATATCGCCTACTACCGTTGTCCCCGCAAACGGATTCTGTTAGGTACTGGTATGGCAACCTTGTTGATTCTACCCATTGTCAATATTGATAATTATTAGAGACCCATAAACATGAAGTGCAGTTCTGCCATCGTTCTGGCCGTCGCCCAAGTTTCCACGGTCTTGTCTATAGCCGTCGCCGACTCCAATATCGAAGACGTTGCAGTGTGTGGAAAACTCGGCGTCATGAAATGGGACGGTCCGCTTCCGGAGGGTGTCAACCGTAACAACATTCGAAAATGCGCAGACCATCCTCTCGGTATCCAGCAGTTGAAGTCCAAGAATTCTCGATCTGCCGTTCCTTCAATTGCCAAAGCCCAGGCGTGCTGGTACGGGAGCCCATCGGGCTGTACAAGGGGATATTGCTGGAAAACCTGTAGCAACAATGGAGAATGGTGCTGGACTGCGTTGGAAAATGGGCTTGGTTCGTGGATCAGATGTAATTCGGCTAGAGACTGCAACACCCGTCAAGCATGCGGCAGAGGCAATTGCCGGGCCTGTGGCTGCAACTGTCATTAGCACACATCAGGCTCTTCTACACAGGACATTTGCTCCAATGCTCGCCTCCTTTTCGTGCTGTCTCCTGTTTTAAGTGCAATCAGACGTTTTCGCTCTTTCTATTCTTTCGAGTCTTTCAACGTGAGCTACAATTCATGAGAATTCCTAATTGTTGCTCGTGTCTGCGGATATGTTAATGGCTCGATCGCCAAGTAACTAACTATATCCATGGTGTTATATTCGCTGGTTTTTAAGCCGAAAAGGATATCTCGATAAAAACCCGGCGGCCCATCGCAATGCAAGCAAATCCCACTAGCTAAGAGTGTTTACTCTCGCCATGAACGAACCGTTCACACCTTCAACTGCAAGCTGCTCCAAAAGCCGTTTCTTTGACTGCTCCGAGCGCTGGGACCCGTTATGGATGCGAGACGTAACGACGTAGGTAACGCTGTTCCGCTCAAAGGCGCAATAAATTTTCGGCACGGGTATAGATGTGTTGGAAGCAATTAGATGCATAGCCTCAGAAGATAGATGCTGATATCCGCCATACTTGATGCATGTTTGACCGTTAAGGAACAGGCCGCACTGGCGGGGTTGCAAACGCTTCAGAATGGCGACCGCTGCAAGCAAAAAGTGACCAAACAGCCAGCTGTTTTCCACTGATACCTGATATGATATACATACATAGTCGCGGTCCTTGCTAACTGCCAGGCAAAGACTTCAAATATAATATAGGGATCACAGCTGCTTCAAGTATTCTAGTTTGTATTCTCGTTCAGTTTCCTTGGACTTTTAACCACAGTGGAGTTGCCTTTCCACAGCTTCATAAGCTCAACCATTCCATACGCTGTCTCGACAGCGAATATTCCGCATAACTACCTGGTCAATTCATTTGTATTTCACATAAACGTGTGTTCCAAACATGTCAACACACTACAAAGAAGGTAGCAGAGCAGTGGCCGGGAGCCTTGAGCAATATTGCATCAAGTCATTGCCAGAAGCTGCTTATTATATTCCAGACTTCATTACTCGAGATGACGAAGAGCGGCTGTTGAACAAGGTATGGGGTCATTCTCAAACCCAGCTGGAACTTGGGAAAATAACTCCAATCTTCCATTCTATATTCCATCCGGATTTCAAGAAGGCACGGCAAGGCTAAAACCGTCAAAAGATCACTTCTGTACCGCTACCCCGCTGGACTCACCTGTCCCGGCGGCGCCTGCAAACCTGGCCGTCCGCGCTCACAAACTCGAACACCCTCCTCGACTCACCGCTCCCGGACTGGCTTCGCTCGCCAGTCGTGTCTCGCTTTACGGAACTAGGAATCTTTTTTGATTCACCCCACCGCGCGCCCAACCATGTTCTCATCAATGAATATCAGCCCGGCCAGGGGATCATGCCCCATGAAGACGGCGCGGCATATTACCCAATGGTGGCTACAGTGAGCATTGCTGCTCCCATAGTCTTGGACATATACGAAAAGAGAAACGATGAGGAGCGCAAGGCTTTCACGACAGGTGACTTTAGCGGGATTCATGCGAATGATAAACCACGATATAGGATATTGCAAGAACCGCGGAGCTTGCTCATTACGACTGGAAAGCTGTACACCGACTATATGCATGGAATAGCCGAAACGACTAGCGACAGTGACCTTGGGCCAGACACGATATGCAATTGGGACCAGGTGGGAGATACAACCCCTTTCGAACATGGCAGTTATGAGAGACAAACAAGAATCAGCTTAACGTATCGCGACGTCCTTCGAGTTTCGAAACTTGGAAACACGATGAAATTCTTGAATAAAAGATAAATAAAGCAAACCAGATCAAGTCTAATATATCGACGGTATCATTTTCCATTTGCCTTTTACTTTATCAACACCAAACCTTCGAGCGTACCAATCTTTGCTGATCCCAGCCGAAACTCCCAAGTTGATCAAGACAAGTAAAAACCCGGAGAATACGGTCTTGTTAACAAACTCCCCTTTTGGCGCGGCAAGAAAGCTCAGTGCCAAATAGATAGCACACTCCGCGGTATAGTGAGGACATACGAGCCTCGCAAACGCCGGGTGCGCTGGGAGCGTATACTTTTTCAAAGAACTCAGGTAGCAATGACAATCATATTGAATACCCGACGCGACCAGGAAGACTGGGAGAAATACAAGTGTTTTCATGGACGGGCCCACGATTCTTGCGTCATCGAGGGATACACGGGACGAAAGCAAGGTAGCTAGAAGCAGTCGATCGTATCAATTCACTCGAACGCCAAAACCTCAGAGGGGACAAGTTTCCACCATACCGGCTCCTTCAATCCAAATCGCGAGGCCCATGGCAGCGTAGAAGCCCAATCCAAACAGCCAATGGCCGATCCACATTTTTGAGGCGGACGGACGAGTCAACACGATGCATTCGTAAAGCCGGCGAGTACCCTGAATAGTAAGCAGAGCCCAGCACAAGACAACTTGGCCAAGTGACATTGAATGCCCCATATGTTTCTCACTCAGAGTCGCGGCCACTGCTCTAAACAGCGGTCCTCGGGTCGCCAATTGAACGGCCCAGAGAAACGATGAAAAGACTGAAACGACGTAAAAATGCACGAAATAGCTATGGGGCACATTCCATGCCGCTAATTGATCCAAGACACGTCTTAGAAACAACGGAGACATGGGAGCATGGTCGTCACCACTGCTACACGGTGGTTGGCCAGAGCGCGCTCCATATGAAATAAACCGTCCACGAAGCATTCCAATGCGATTAGCAGCCAGGATCTTGGGTCAATCAGTTAGCTGCGGCTCCTCCCACGGCGCGAAAATGACTTTTGAACCCCGTACATACCGCCGCACCAGTGGTTAGGAAGCCACCCGACAGCAAGTCCGCCGCGTCCAAGGACGGAGCGATGCATCTGAAATGCATAGCCGCCATCCGGTCAGAATCAGGGCGTGGCCCTCGGATCTCACGCGTCCATCTGGCTCCCAGCGCGAGAGTCGAGAGAGCGAAGTCGTTGTTTGTTTCCGCCGCCCGCCACAACACGCAGATCCCAATCAGGCTTAGCGACCCGAGACAGACTTCCAAAACAATGCTAGCGCCAAACCAAGGGCAGCGATACGACGCATCTTGCCTTCTTCGCTTTCTTGCGCTCAACTCCAACCCACCAGTCGCCAGAACCGTTGCTATTTGACGCAAAGCCTGTCGGATATCTCGCCAAGGACTTGCTACATTTTCTGTCTTGGGTTTGCCCTCTCACTCGTGTCCTCGCGGATTCAGCAACGCCCTGTCTCGATCCGTCCATACTTCGGACGATTCCACTCGCCTCGTCGTGTCGGTGGCTATCCAGATTCAAGACACCAACGCTATTGATGATGCGACAAAGTACCGTATTACCTCGAGAGCAGCCGCTATGAATGATGCTGAAGTGGCCTCCGTGCTCTCACCCACCACCCATACCAACAATTCAACCGACCAGCATCTTGGAGGCGAAAAGCCTCATAAACAGCTTTTTCTTCCCCCAAGGACAACTGCAACGCCTTCAAACGGAGAGGTCAAGGTCGTGCCGGACCGCAATAGCCTTAATGAGGATGCGGCAAGTATAAGGGCAGACTCGGAAGCAGAGACCATTATTCAGTCGGGACGGGAGGAGCTGTCGCCCGAAAAGAAGAGAAAGTACATTCAGCATAGGTCGGACCACAATGGCGGAGCCCAGAGTCATAATGAACCTGTTGGAATGAGGCCTGTAATGGCCGGTGAAGATTTTAAAGCTAGAAAAAGGAAAAGGATAGCCGATGAAGCTGATGGGCCAATTGGCACCCACCGCCCGAGCCGGCCAAGCTCAAGAGTAGCTTCACCATCGCCGATATTGAAACGAGAAAAAACAGAAGATTCTATTTTCGCTTCTGGAAATCGCGGCCCGTCCTTGCCTCTTTCGGAAAATATCAATGTGATGAGAAGCATTGAGCATAGGAAATGTCTGGGAAGAGAACCTGACAGCAATTTTCCTGACGTGAGGCTCCATGATAAACATGGAAGCACAGGAAGGAATCATGGGCGTGAAGAAAGTAATAATCTGACACATACTCCCAGTTTCTCTCACGATCGTTCACTATCTCCCGGTGCGCGCTCACATAAGCGCGTAGTGTCAACATCTTCACAATCTACTGGTCACTCTCAAAGAAAGAGATTTGTTCCTCCACTTCTGCTGACGGATCGCCGCCGACATTCCTCAGAGGACAGGGAGTCATCCTCATCGTCTGCTCGTGGTTCCCCTTTACCAATTTCACGTCCGCGACGAGTTCCGTCCAGCGAGTACAACGCGACGTCCCCTGCAAAACAAATGCCGCCGCAGAAGAGGCAACGCGACCAAAATGGGAGGACAAGGCTGGCTCGCGCTTGCGCAGCCCAAGAAGTTGAAGCTACCAAATCTCGCCTTGCGGCACACCCCGAGGAATTGGATGTCCCGGACAACGCCGGGAATACACCACTTCAAATCGCGGCCCTTGAGGGAAATGCGGATATCGTCAAATTTCTACTAGAGGCTGGATGTGACATCAACACTAGAAATATTGACAAAGATACTCCTCTTATCGATGCGGTGGAAAATGGACACTTGGAAGTGGTGAAATTGTTGCTTGATGCTGGCGTCAATCCTCGAGTGGGCAACGCGGAAGGCGATAAACCATATGACCTCATTCCGTCTGATAGTGAGAATTTTGAGGCACTTCGCAAAGTCCTCGCGGAAGCCAAAGCAAGAGGAATGCGAGAGCAGAAGTTAGTAGAGCTGAGCAGTAACACGCCAATTCCTGTACCTACCAGGGACGCGCCTTCTCGTGGAGTATCCGCCGCGAGTCCCCGCGAGTCGCCGCCAGTTTATGGTATTCGAAACTCCCCTCCCGCCGGACTAGGTCGCCGAAGGACCGTGAGAAGTGAAGTTACCCGCAACGATCTCTTGTGGACCCAGCCTACCCCAGAGAATTTGCGGGATTTTGCTGCAAAAGGTGACATGGCTGGGGTGGCCAATATTTTAAACGTGCTTCAAAAAGCAGACACTGAATCCATTATCGCTGCAGCTAAAGGAAGCCACGATGAAGTACTGGGCATCCTACTTGGTATGGGAGACCCTGACCCTAATCCAGAACCGATCAACTCCGGTAACAATAAACCTGGTTACAACACTCCTATATTGGCAGCTATTGGTAGAGGAAACAATTCTGTGATCAAACTCCTTCTAGGGCAAAGAGGCTTCGATCCAACACGCCTAGACTATCGAGGCCGGACCTATTACGAGATATCTGAGGAGCGCAAAGGCGAAAACTGGAAGGCAGAACAAAAGCTTCTCAAAGAAGCATATGACAATTATCTCAAACCTCCCAGCACTGATAAATCCGACTCCAGGGTTTCAAGAAAATCGCGAGACCCCAAAAGCTCTAAAGGAGGTTCTGTGTCTCCAGCGTCCTCACTCAGAACACTGGCTCGAAGTCCCGAGTCCCGGAGCCAAGGAGCACAGAAAATCTACAAAGCTAGAAAGGATGTTGGGAAAGATGAAAGTTTGGATCGTGCGTCAGCAAAGTCCCATAGAAAAGCGCACCCCCGTGACGACACCAACAGCGAGACCCAAACAGCCTCCGACTATGACTCTACTCGCTCTCGACACACAAAACCAAGAAATTCCTCAGACTTCAAAAACCAGTCCGATACTACAAGTACCATTAATCCTACAGAAGAACCCATAAAACGACGCCGTCTGATTGCAGGCCGTCCTCCAGATCGAAGAAGAGGAAGTTTTATGTCGACAGACTCACACTCAGCGAGGGACGAAGCCTCAAAAGATCGAATCGAAAAGTTCGGTTCCGAGGCTCGCCGGTTCAAAGAAGTTTCTCCATCCAAACGATCGCGAGAAAGTGTCTCTCCCAAACCGACACTACCTCGTAGGAGACAAGACAAAGATATCGAAGATTCGGATACGCAAAACAAGAAGAGAAAGATCCAAGAAGACTCGAGGGAGACGCAACAATCTAAGGACCTAGCGAACAAAATCGTGAGGGAACGACTACTATCCCCGAAGCCTACGGTTCAGTGTGACACAGGTAGCCCTTCCAACGCTAAATCAGAGAAAGCAGCGGCTAGTCACACCATGCATCAAGAAATGGAGATTCAAAATGCTCGGGTGGATGATGTCGTCGTAGCTTCTCCTGGAAAGCCAGAGGAGCCAACCAGATCAGCCATGATTAATTCTACCACGGAAATTGGCGTTGACCACTTGGGTGCGAAGGAGTTTGAAACCCGTACTGAATCCCAGGTAATCGAGCGTACCCTTGGGGATAGAAAACAAGTCGACTCTAGAGAAGGTATCATCGCCACCAAAACCGAGTCTAAAGAGACTACCGATGCGAAAGAAGCCGAAGCTGCGAAAGAAGCCGAAGCTGCGAAAGAAGCCGAAGCTGCGAAAGAAGCCGAAGCTGCGAAAGAAGCTGCCAGAGTTGTTCTCGACCGTGCAGAGGAGGAGGAACGGATGAGTAAGGAAGCAGAGCAGCGGCGACTTCGTCAAGCGGAAGAGGATCGTCAAAAACAAATCGATCAGGAGCACCAACGGCAGGCAAAGTTGCGTCGGGAACTGGAAGAACGAGAACAAGAACGCCGGGATGCGCTTCCTCATCGACTACGTGCCGCGGCGAACCTGATTGGGGCCAATGATCCAACAGCAAAAAGCACGGCCTGGCTCAAAAAGCTTGTACCTGTTTTTACCGTTCGGACGAAGCAGATTGACAGCGCTTGCGATGCGGAAATTGAGGACGAGAGATGGCTTATCAACTATCAGGTTGCGCCTTTACTATCGTCCAATGACCTTCAGCTTATGCAGTGTAAGCCCTCAATTTTTACTGGCGATTTGGGCTCGAGAGATACTGACTAAATTGCAGACCCCGGCTGGGAGAGGCGAAAAGCGACTTTCGATCATAAATATAGTCTCTGGCGTTTGACTCGGAATATGCTGTCTTACATCGATGAATTATCTGTTCTTAATACGTCTTGGCAAGATGTCGCCAGTCGAGTCGCAGAAACAAAGCCGAAATTCTATGCGATGGAGCATGTATTTTGGGTGAAAGTAAGTAAACAAGTTCTGTTCGCGGTATGTCCCTCGACTTCTTTAGCTAACTGCACTTCTTAGTTATCCGATTTCATGGGCTTGGTCCCTCATATTCCGCATCTTCACGACTTTGATTTTCGTTTAACGGCAATGGCCATACAACCAATACCGTCGGAGGACGTTGGCCAACATACGGAGATACCGAGGCCTATAGATTCAACGCCGCCAAGTGCCAACACTATGGCCAATGGTGCCGAATCTGTTGATGTTTCTCGCAACTAAAACTACATTCCTAGCTAAACGATTTTGTTTCCACTTTTCCTTTTCGGTTTTTTTGGAGCCGGTATCTTCCTGGCGACGCGGTGTAGGTCGATTTGACGGAGGCATTAGATCTACGGAATGCGATTTGACCGATTTGTTAGGCGCGCTGGTCTGGTGCTCATGTTCCTCCTTTGGGGTGGCTTTTCCGTCTTGCACCTTGACTTGTTTGGCTTGTGTGGCCATTTCCAAACCCTTGTTCCTCGTTTGGCGCTATTTTTCCAACATTCTTTCCTACATCCATCAGCAAGCAGATGTTGCATGCATTCATGTGAATAACTAGCGGTTAGATATCCCGAGTGCCGCTTTTTAGACACTCGCTTGAGCCTGGTTCTGAAACGTGGAACTAGCTGTTCTATGACGCCATCCATTCCCAAATGACCTGTTGAACCTCTCACGGCCTCGTGAGGTGATAATCCAAGGGCCCGGCTCCAGCCTTGAGGTACAACCGACGTTTGGACTGGTAATTGGAGCACCCGCGTCTCTCACGCCGGCGTAGCCTTATTTCAACCAGTAAGCCACGGATTAGGGCTTCAGCTATGAGCAACCCACACCTTTTTAAGGCACCGAAGCAAACAGTACCATGGTCACAGTGCAGGCAACTGACACATAACTAGGGGGTTTGCTCCGTAGGTTAACCAACTATCCGATACCTTTGACCACATCACTACACCCAAAATCATCCCAAATTCCCTTCCAAAGATAGTCAAGTAGTTGAGCTGGATGCCGATTTTTCAACTAATAACTCGCCAACCACGATATCATCAAAGGAGTTAAGGGAACGGCAGAAACATTTATACCAAAAGCCGAGAAATGTCATTATGTACTAGGGGTGACAGATGGGAAGTGAGTTGCAGCTCCAGCCCGATTTAGCACATGGCAGTCGGATAGCTACTCGGTTCTGAGATGGGAGCTACCATCCAAGGTCCAAGGAAAGGAAGTGAAGATACTCTGTACATTGTGGTTTTTCTGGCAAGGGAGGAGGTCTCAACTGGACATCCTACTGAAGTCGCGAGCTGGCTGACTAAAGACTAACGACGAGCCAGCTGCCAAGTAACTTATGTAAGCGTTGTAGGGCACACTGATTAACCGAGCATCGCTTGCTTCTCGTCTTCGATATTTCCTTGCGCTCATCCCATCACTCTTTGAGGATAATCCGGCATTAGTAGCTATAATCCACGTCAAAATGGTATGTCTATTCTCCCTTTTTCTCTTTTGTTTATCTATCCCGCAAATCCGAGAAGTCGTCTCATTTAACCAAGAGCCCTTGCGAACCAAAATTTCGCCATGGCGCCTTTGGAATTAACCCGGCTAACAAATCCTATGAATATCAATAGTCGGACGGAGAAGAGACCCCAGTCGTCGCGGCCGAAGAGGTCGAAGTTTCCGCTACCGCTACCGGCGGTGGCTCCATGTCCGTCCTCGATGCTCTCAAGGGAGTCTTGAAGATCGCGCTTATCCATGACGGACTCGCCCGTGGTCTTCGCGAGGCTGCCAAGGCGCTCGACCGTCGTCAGGCCCATATGTGCGTTCTCAACGAGTCCTGCGAAGAGGAGGCCTATAAGAAGCTCGTCATCGCCCTGTGCCAGGAGCACAAGATCCCGCTGATCAAGGTTCCTGATGGCAAATTGCTTGGTGAATGGGTTGGACTTTGTATGTTCACCTACGATTTCCCTCCCCATCTGTCCCCCTTTTTTGTTGAATGAGCGGCTTATTTTTGCTCTTCATCTTAGGCGTGCTTGATCGTGAAGGAAATCCTCGCAAGGTTGTCAACTGCTCCTGCGTCGTTCTCCGCGACTGGGGAGAAGAATCTCAGGAACGCTCCGTCCTCCTCAACTACTTCCAGACCGAGCAATAGGCAACTTTTGAAGAAAGCGGAACCATTGTTACTCGTTTAGACGGAATAAACCGAAAATGGGGAAAATTCTTTAGCTTGTGTGTCTCGTCAGACTTGATATGGGGAAACATTGCTCAAAACCATGGAGGATTTACGGCATGAATAAACCGTTCAAAATTACGATGTGGTCTTGGGCTTGATTTTTCTGATTTTGATGTCCTCTAGACACCGGGTTTAGTCGATAATGAGTTACGATGCAAATGGCTCACGCTCTTATAAAAAAATTTCCAGCATTACCCCGTAGTCCCACACTTATGACCAATACATGGAAGGAAGCAGAGTCACCCTGTATTCGTGTTCACCTGAGCCACCAACAAACACCAGCTGTGACGTTCTAACTTGAATGACTACAACTCGGGCCGTCGCTCCTGCGCAGAAATCGCTCTTAATTAGATCTACCCGCAACATCCAGTGGTGCATTTATCTCCTATTAGTACATACATGCTAGCGATATCGCTTGGTATCAAGTAATATTCGGGATTCGTAATTCGGTGATACGACTGCCCGAAACAAGCGGCACCCATAACTAGACAAATGGCGCTTAGAACGGGGAATATGTGCAATGCTGAAAAAAAAAATGTAACCAGAGGAGCTTCCTCCATAGCCCTCAAACAGAATATGCAGGGTGACATGTGCAGGTATGTGATAGAACGCAAGCTGCTGGGGATCTAAGAGACAATAGGTATAATCTTAACTGATTCTTTGAGCAGAAAACATATCCCATATGACCCCATGCTGAAATAGCCATGGAGACTTATCGGAAACTGTAAGCCGGGAAAACCATTTTGCCCTTCATAATAGGGTCCAGAGTGAGTTGTTGGTATGGTGAGCTTCCTGGATCGTAGTACATTCCAGCAATGTGTCCATTATCGCGACGTATGGAAATGTAATAAAATCCTGAGATCGTGAGTCCTTGACGAGAATGAGATGGGGAAACAAAGCACCGCTCTGGATGCAACGGATGTGTTAGCTATAAATGATACACCCGCGAGATGCAAGGCTGGTCGAGATTTAGAAAATAACTCACCTTTCCACCTCATTAAAATCCACCCTTTTGCCAACTTCTCACTGAGCCATTTCTTGCTCACAAGATTTTTGACGATCTCATCATGGCTTTGATCTTTGAATGGCTCAAGCTCCCGCCAGTAGCAACTATCAACTTCAGGCGACGCATGAAAATTCTTAGTTTCCAAAGTATGCGTGTTGAAATCGATAATCTCCCCTTCCAGGAAAGTGATTATATGCGCGCTTTGGTTGGAAGCTGTCTTGTCAGGAATGTTGTACGCTTCCATTGTTCCGGACAACGTCATTGTGTTGTAGTCGACATTATGAATAGTTACCTTGACAGGCCAATGTTCTGTTTTGGCACTCCCTAGCTCTTCTGTGCTACTCCGACCTAGATCGGTCGTGCTGTTGGCCCAGTAGCGCCGCCCACTGCTGGTATAAACTGTGATGCGGTTATTTTCACTTCCATTCAAAATTACAGGCTCTACCGGGCGACTTGAACCAGAAACACGGTGAGAAAGCATTGTAGGAGAGCTAGATTGTAATGCTTGCTGGTGGCCGGAAAAGACGGTTCCTGGCTTTAACCACGAACACTCGGCGGGGGCGGCAATTGCACTGGTATTGAGGATGAAGTCGTCTTCGTTGGAAAGGAAGTAGTCAAACTGCACAAATCCACCCGCAGCAGCTGAAGAAACGCTCTCTTCGTACGAATTGGAGAAACGAACTCGATCTAGATATTGGATTGTTTCTTTTAGGCGATCCACGGAAGGGTCTTTTAAATACATTCGACGTAACTCTGAATGTCTGTGCGGGTCTCCACGGTTCAGCGTGGACGGATAGGGGCTCTGGGTTTGCGTTGCCAGGTAGGCTCGTCGCAACTCATCGTCGTCTTCCATATTTCTCGATACGTTATTATCCCATGACTTGATTTTGTGATAGTCTATGCCTTGCAGGAAATCGCGGGTGGCGTCGAGCCGACTGAAGGAGCGCCGCTGTGACTAAAGAGGAGTCTCCGTATAAATCGTACCGCGATGTGCCCCTCCTTCTCTCCGGTTCGTTATTCACAGCACGAGGGGTTCTGGATGAGTTTTCCCTTCTATAGGATGGATATGAGGGTCGCCCGGTCACTCTAACTGCCTCCCGAGAATTCCACATGCGTTGAAGCAGACTTGAAGATAGTTCATCCAGGTGGTCACTCTCCTCTTCCATCCCATCGTCGTCAACATCATCGAAATCCGGAGCCCAGCCGTAAATGGACTGTGAGTTTTGTGACGGTGTTTCCCGGTAGTCCCCCGCTCTTGCGCTTCGACGTCGAACGATAGGCACGCGATCACCTGTTCTCGCATTTGAAGCTTGAGACCTATTGGCGCCGTTCCTATTTACATTATCAGAGCCACTTGATCCCGAGGCAGAAGGCCAGCCACCACGGGGAGGGCGCTGATTTCCGTGGTGGCGTGCGTCATTTGTTTCGCGAAGACTTCGCAAAAATCTGATGTTCTGGTCATGGATATCGTCCTCCGGTTGACTCATGAGTGTGGCGGCAAGGTCTAAGGCTGGGGTAGAGATGAATTCGAGTTGTTGAAGGAATGGGCTCGGCGAGGGAGGGGAATTGGCAGGTCGAGGCGTGTCCTAGACCGAGTGGAAAGCTCTGTTAATCAACCAGCCGCTAACTGAAATACAAGCACTGCTTCAGCATAAAAGGGTAGGCAAAACAGTGGAAAGCTGCGATTATCAGTAGATGGGGAATCCCACCGTTGGTGAATTAGCTGGTGGCATATCAACCACCAGGTGTCCCTCTTGGTTTGGCACAGGGATATTGGCGCAGAGAGTCGGCTGGACGGGAATACAGTGTTGGTGAAGAAAGAACTAACCAAGGAGTTAACAGCTTAGAGCTCAAGGGCTACTTTGTAGTGACTGGGAGAAGATCAGCAGCCAGCGATAGTTACTGATAACTTCTTTGCGGATAAGTTGAAAGAGACGGATTGCGATGCATGCGCTGGAGAAGAGAGGGCGGAGAGAGAGTGGGGGAGCCGGAGGAGCAACCTGGAATTTGTGAAAAGGAAAGTTGATGAGGATCTCAGTTTGAATGAACAGCCCAGTAACTAAAATGAATGTCCTGGTCAGATTTGCATTTCACGCCCTCGGTGAAAGTGGTGATTGCAAGTTGAGGAGAAATGAGCCAGAAGACTCCGGAGTTAGCCACAAGTTGAAACAGCGGCGAAAGTTGCAAAGGACCGAGAACAAAGGATCACTCAATAATCCCATTCATGGCACAGCACACTATTTCCTTTAAAACTGTTTTCGTTTCTGCCTTTTGCTGCTTTGCAAAAGAATATTCAATCCTTTGAATTTAGTCCAGGGCGTCATTGCCTTGGTCTCTCAGCCTCGAGACGCAGTGTTTCAGCATATAGTTTGTCTCCGTGCCTCAACCAGGCAAAGATATCTTCTCTTCGTTGGCGTCAATCGGTTATAATCGCAGTCCATTTCGGCGCTTGTCTCTGAAGGATCACCAGTCAAACCAAGTAGCTATTTCGAGCTTTTTTGTGTGAGCGGCTGATGCTAAGCAAGTACTCCGTAGTTATATGACAGTAAATCGCGACGGATAGCATGTAGCGAAAACAGAACAAGTTTAATCTATCGTCTAATAAATCTAATTATAAGGCGTCAGAGTCCTCCAACAGGAAAGGATGTTGCCTGATTATGATGCGGCGTGTCAGTTGGCGCCTGGCAGCATCCCAATGCACTTCTCCGCTCTTCGAAGGCAGTCCAAAACGATTACCCAGAACTTATCAACATCCATACTGACCGGTATAGTAACTCCACCAAGAGAGTTGGTGGTTTTTTGGGCCACTGTGCGGCCTACCTCTTTAGTTAGTTCAATATCTCGTCCGTGCGAACCATCAGTGATAACATCGACCATGTATCTTGCTCCATTATTGTCATTAAACTGCAATATATCTCCTCGACCGGCCATTTGTGGGCCATTGAGGTTTGAAAGCAGGACGGCAACTGCAACAGGATCGTGCAGTGGTGGGCCGCTATCAATTCCAAACACGGTATCGTAGGTGCCACCAAAGAACATGAGTAGGGCGTGAAGAATCTGACGGAGAACAGAGGGCCCAGACTCATTACTGGATTCTGTGGCAAGGATGAGTGACTGGATTGTCCGCGTCGCCAGGACTTGGTGCGTCAAGTCCAGAGTTATCAGTGTTGTCTTCGGACCGAGAATCGGTGACATCAAAATGGATTTGGCTGACTCTGGGTCTGTCTTTTATCATATTACTCTGTCAGTGTTCCGATGGGATTTGGTCGCGGAATTCGCCTTCGAATCAAAACTTACGTAGATGTTGAATTCAGAGTACAGGGTCGTATTCCCAATCCTATTCGTCTCACCGTCTTTCTTGCTAATTGGCACATTTGTAAATCCTTCACCGATTGCTCCTCCCATAATACTAAGACCCCGAATGTGTTCCGCAACCTCAGGGAATACGGCGAAAAGCAACCCAACATTCGTGAGCGCTCCAGTAGCGACAACCCACGCTGTATTACTTGGCTGCGCAAGCAAGGCATTTCTCATAGCTAATATCGGGTTGACATTCGTCACAGGAGGAACCTTGGGCGTAGGAAGGAGGTCGGTGCCATCAATGCCGGTCACACCTGGATGAGCTTCAGCACGGGACCCAGATCAAAGGATATCGTACACCATACCATGAATATCTGGGGCATGGACAGGGAGCCTGCAAAATGGCTTCTTGGACCCGGGATAAACAGGTATATCAGATCGCCCAATGCTCTCCAGAATACTCCCTGCGTTGATGGTTGTGTTTTCAAGGGAGGCATTGCCATGTACGGTCGTGATACCCAGGAGATCCAACTGCGGATGATGAGCAGCCAGAAGGATTGCGAAGGCGTCCTTAGCAAAAGATTAGTCTGAGATTGGTTATTCGCTTCAGAAACTGCAACATACATCATGTCCTGGCATCCGCTTTGATTTAGCATGTTGTACTGTGACCGCGCAAGATCAGCTCCAATACTGCAGGATTGTTATACTCACCGGGATCGCAATCCAGCCAGACTGGGATCTTTGGGGGTTCTTGCAACGTTTCGAATGTCATCTTCAAGGTATATCCACTTCACCGAGTCTGCCGTTCCCCTTCCATGCTTATATATATATTGAGGCGGAGGGGTTTATCTTATCAGTTGGAGCCTCCGGCCGCTAACTAGGTCCTCAAACGTAGTCAAGCTTACTAAGCAGTTTTGGAGCTCACCCGTCTTCATCAGTTCATTATATGGAGCAACGAACCCATCCACAACAAATCTACAGGACAGTCTACCCATCGGTAACAACCTTCTTGATTGCTTGAACTGGAACGAAACGCAGAGAGGTGAAATTTGAACGGCCAGCAATCAACAGCGTGACACAAATCTGAGCGCCCAATGTGCTCCCGACTATCCCTGAGCGCGCTGTAGTCAGAAAATCCTGCTGGCCAAGCAAGCTCCATGACTCCTCCCAGCCGCTCCTGTGGTCTTCCTTGACCTCAACATCTTACATAGGAAATGACTGGCCAACCCCTGGTTCCAAAATCGGGCTCAACGACGTCCAGTGCAGCGGTGCCCATCGTTCCTGTTCTACCTAGGGGGCCTCCACCAGGATCCAGGCCAGTACCCCCAACCCGCCATGGGCCAAAATCTTCCTCGCCAACGGATTTTACGAGCGAAAGAGTTACGACGGCACTAATACGCCGAGTCCTTTGTGCCCAATCGCCTGGGTATGGCTCAGAGCAACGGGATCGGGGAACTCCGCGACCGCTCGAGGAATTGTTGCCTCCGCTCACAAGCTCCAATGAGGTTGACCTTCAGCTTTATGCGTTAATTGCGATCATCATGAAGGAATTCGTTCATGCTTGGTACTCGAAAATTACATCGGACCACACTTTCACAGACGAGGTCATCCAGGTGATTGCTCACTGCACCCGTGCTCTCGAACAGCGACTGCGACATGTTGACGTACAAGGACTTGTGTTGGACGAGATCCCTTCCTTGATCGAAGCACATATCACTGGTAAGTGGCTAGCTGATGTTACCTTTGGGGAACCATTGCGTTGACGCCGATATTGTCTCTGTAGCATATCGTATGGCATACCAAAGCGCTACGACCTCTAAATCTAAATCCCAGCTTCGAACGGCTTATCACGCGCTGAACCCACACCCCGCCCTCTCTCATGTGCCGGAGGAATTGGTTTCCGCATTTCCCCTAGAACAGCAGAACGAGGAGTCGATTTATCGCCAAATGTTAGCGCAAGGGCTCTTAGCCATCCTTCTCCCTACGGAGGAGCTGGAAAATATATGTCTTCGGACTTTGGTGGCTGATATCCTAGCAGACCTTCTACTCGGCGAAATCGTTGGGGAAAGGGTCGCTGAAGGGTGGTGTATATGGGAGATTATTACAAAGCTTGCTGAAGAGCTGAGGCCGGGTACGGACGAAAATGTAAAAGTGGAGCAGACGAGAAAGAGTCAACTGGAGAATTTTGGTCTCTTGTCTTCTCCAACGGAAGCCGACGGTCTCAAAACCACTGAAAACCAATCATCTCTATCAATTCTCCTATGGGCGCTTTTGCAGTATGCATACCTAGCATACGCGATGGTTCGATTTGTTACCCTCGAGGTGGCTCAGGTAGCATCTTCTTCGTCATTGATGCCCGTGCGAGGGTCCTGTGTCAAATGGCAGCTTCGAAAACCCCTGCCACTGAAACCCCCGCCCTTGTCCGATGATAGCGCCGTGCGACTTCCTATTCTCAAGTATAGGATTTTTGGGATGGCATCTCAACTCGTCGAGGTCCCACGGCGCATGCCGTGGCTTGGGGGATCTTTGGCGCTCGCTCAACACGTGCTGTTGAATGGCCCGGGAAGGATTGGAGAGACGGACGGCTTTATTGATAGGTGAGCGGCTTCTTTCTTGTCTGGGCAATCTCGTTCCCCCGATTCTTTGCGAGATATCCATTTGTCCGTCCCCACCCCGCATGGGTGGAATTCCAAATGTGTGTGATGTTTCAATGTCCTCAGCCAGGTAGCGCCGTGAGCTATCATCTCTGAGATGTTTGCAGCCCATGTGGTCTATTTCTGGCAATCCCTGATGAATTGACGGAGCAATCAGAAGCCAAAGCAGGGGTTGCACTTTTGACTGGTGACCTCGCCCGCATACCCTCTCGATCACTTGATCTGATGGAGGGTGGCCGTTGTTCGCAAACAGTTGGTGCAAACGCTCTGTTTTGGCGTAATGCTTGCCCGTATTATTTATTTCGTCACCTTTCTAGCGGTTCTGTCTCGCTTGTTTGCACTTTGTTTTGGCGCTGTTTTGTCGCTTAACCACTCATATCCCCGGATTATCGACTTGTTCCTTTGTTACCATACTGGTGTAGGTATGGTAATGACACCAAACGCTCCACATACCGTACGGAACAGTACAAACCTTTACGGCGCTTGGAAGATCCGCAACGCTGCTGAGCAGAAGCCAAAAAATGCCACCATCCGGGCTCTCTTGACTTCGACTGGCCATGGCTGCCCGGCCGCTGTACTCTGGGCCGGGCCTCCCTCCCGCCCGCAACAGTCGCCAGACTTTGCATTTCTTCACCGCTGGTCTTTCTTATTGGCAGATCCGGCCCCTCATCTCCGGCAAGGAGTGGAAGACTGCAGAATTATGCAATTCTCTGCTAGCCAATGGCGATGCCTCATAATTGGCTCATGATATGGATGAGTTGCTTGCATGATTCCTTGCTTTCCTGAGCCCTTCTCCTCATAGTTTGTTTATCGTGGGCTCCATGTCTTTGGTTGAGTTGGCTGAAAGTAAAATCCGCTTTGAAGCTCCCTTTTTCATGGCGTTTTTGCTTTTTTGTACGGTCCGCATTGCGCCCGTTACCGAGTCAGGTACCAATCATTTGATGAAGGATAATGGCATATTTCAAATGGGACCGAACGGGCACTTCATCTTGAACGTCATCTCCTTCTCTCCCCGTTTTTGCGACTGTGTTCAGGCATCAAATCATCTCTCGGCTTTGCCCGAGATAATCAGCGACTGTCTCTTTGACACTAAGGCTTTTGGCGACTCCCTTGGTTGAACGCCCTTTTGAGAGCTGCACTGATCTTCACCATCTCTACCTTGGCATTCCTGCTGTGTTCACGTTCTCAATTCGCTTAATTTCCTGGCAAGAATTCTCATCACTTTGGCTAAATGTTCTTTGTCGAAACAGGCTCCTCTCCCAGGCGCTCCAAAAGTATCTCTTCACAGAGAGACTGTTACCATCTCTGCTTCGTGCAATTCGAACAACTGTCTTTCCGTCAAATGCTCGCCCAGCTTCGACCGAGGTCACTTTGGCAGCCGACATCGGAGTCATACCTGGAAAGATCCAACTTGAGGCCTCTCCCCTGACAACAGGGCCCCCACCACCGACACCAAGTTCCCGTCGACGACCCCCGTCCGACCAACGATCTGATGGCGCCAAAATAAACTCTATTAAACGTGCATGTGCCCGAAGCATCGTCCGACTAGTCCCAAGGCGCATCGCATTGGCCATCTTGGCCATTTCGACCGACAAAGAAGTCCGAACAACTAACTTAAGCGCTGATAGCAATGGCGACCCCGCTTCCCTCGTGACTGCTCCTCCGGCTCGTGCTGCAGCTTCCCCGCTGATATTGAATTCGCCTGGCCCTACCCCTTCTACTCCTTCGTCGGGCGCAGTGAAATCTGAAACTCGACCAGGGAACGACGTCTATTTTGGTCCGACCCATTCCAACCCAGACTCAACTCAAACGTCAATCCCAAATATTGGGGCCGCAAACAGCAAACGAAGTAAATCAGATCTGTCAACTTTTGGTGCGGGGCGAGAAGAAGAAGACGAAATGGACGAGCAGCTTCTATGCGCTATTGAACGTGATGTTCTTGATGTGTTCTCTGATTCGTATTGCAATAAGCATCTCATTTACTCTATTGTCGAACTTGTTCTGGTCAAGCTCATGCCAGAGCTGAAAGCGCATGGAGTTGAAGAACTCATGGCTGAACGTGGGGTGTGAAAAGGAAAGGAGAAAGAAGCGCACAGACGGCTTTGGCCCCATGGAAATGACCTTTTTGTTTTTGTTGATGCGATACCTGAGCCGAGATCTAGATGTTCAAAGCGGTAGATCCCGGTTTGTTTTTTTTTGAGACTAGAGACAAAATATGAACTGCACATCAGTCATGAATCCTGGTATTGCTTCAGATCAACCATGCATACGCATGAGACCTGATTTCTGGGTATTCTGTAAATAGTAAACACGCGCCCGTCAATCACTTGAGGCGGAAAAAAGCTTCCCCCCTCTCCAAAGGACGGCATGCATACTCCATCAAACCAGGGTAAACTATTTGTTGTAAAGCTGGAAAAGAAATCTGGATATCTCAAGAAGATCTTCAAAATCCAAACCATGTGCTAAAAAGGAATAATAGGGCGCTTCATATTGCTATCATGTGAATTCAACCCTGTATGATCTCCAAAAAGAGAAAAACGAAAGAAAAAAAAAACAGAAACCAGAAACCAGAAAGCAAGAAACAAAAAAATATGCATTGTGTACATTACCAGTTTCGTTGCAACCCTGATGTCCATCCCATCTCCCAAATGATTTGAGGCAAAACAAGTAAAATGACCAAGAGGTATCTCCGTCCGCGCGAGCGGTACACATTGTAGAAAATCGCCAACACCCCTTACAAGCCCAGGCATGAAGAGATTAAGGGGAATAAATAAATAAGCCAGAAAATGCGTATCAGGTCAATGACAATGAAGAAAGCAAGAATAATAGAAAAGAATTAATGTGAAAAGTTCGTAAAATCGGTGGCAAAAGCAAGCCGATACTCCAGGACGATTGACTGCCCAATATCCAGTCATGCATATCAGTTAGAGGATTGACCGGACAATAATAACTCGACGCCGTCTGAATCAAATTATGGCAAAATTACTCGCATGTTGTGCACCGCATTATAACGTATGAATACTCCTCTTTTTCGTCACCCTCGGAAAATCGACATGCTCATCGATCCGTGCCAGCTTCGAGCCTTGACTCTGAACTAGGTCCAGCTTCTCCATGAGCTTGCCAATTGTCACAGACTCCTGTGCGCCAAGGCCGGAAGGCTGGTTCTGGAAATAGCTCATAACTAGCTCTAGCGCGCGACGGGCTTCGTCCTGAGTTGGGGAACCGGGGGAGCTAATTGGAGAAATGGTGTTTGATTTTGACAACAGGTGTACCGGGTCAGTTTTGATTTGAGGCTGGCTTCGGTTTCGTCTAGTACGGGGGTTTTCGTCCAAGGCATTGGCGTGGTCCTCGATAGCCGATGGTTCCAAGCCTTGCGGCAGCCCAGGCTCTGTTGCTTCATGAGCAATGAAATTATGCTCGGTGGCCAATATTGGTAGTGTTTGGCTGCGTTGTCTCTTAGGAATGTGTTCAGGTATAGCTTGAACAGGCGGGACAAAGGGATGCTCTGATGTGAATATAGTCCCTGGGATATTTGACTCTAGAGGCGAAGCGAGAGGAGAGAATGTTTGTGAAAATTCCTCATTCGTTCGAGTCGTTATGCAGTCGATACTTTCTTTCCCCAGGTCGTGCAGTCTTTGCTTTGGAGAGATGGGAGAGGGACTCAAAGCGCCTGAGGGAGACACAGATGAGTTGTCATTTGGAGTGTGTATTCCGGAGTTAGCAGTGCCAGTACTTTCTGAGGCTATTGTTGCATCCACTGAACCCTTCCGTGACTGTGAGTTGGACAAGTAATTCTTCCGCTTAAACTTTTCTAGCCAGCTAGAGCTCAAGAGCTTTTGGTGCCCTTCAGGACTACCCACACTATTAGCGAAAAATAAGGCCTTTTCCCTGATCATTGAATCAGAGAGTTCTCCTCCTTGGCGTAAATGATTTCGGGCCCAGTTGGACAACGCCCTTTCGATATCGGGGAATTTGCCTTTTGTTTTCTTCACAGGCGATCGACGACCATCTTCAGGGTAGAGATACTTTTCTTTCTGGCGCAAAACTTTTGAGACGGTACTACAAAACCAATACAGTTAGGAAAAAGGCCTTTGAAACCAAACAAACTCTGGATCGGGTATATTTGGCACCTTCTCTCGACACCGAACATGGCTGAAACAGGCTATTAGCATTCGGGTGTAAGGAGAAGGCTCGAGTACACAAAACATACCTCCAATCTCTGTCTGTTTGACATGTGGGTTCTCCTCGTGGTACATGCACATTCTTCGGCGGTCAGCGTCCGTCAAAGTTCGTCGTGGAGCCGGCGAGCTCGTAACGTGTGTGGTATGCACGTTCTGCAAATGCGTAACGGTTTGCATAGGCATTGGTGCCAGAGGCACGGGTGCATAACTCGGCTGTGTTGACAACATACCCGGCCATTGCGCGGGTATCGTCAAAGGAGCTAAATGCTGGTGAGGCGGATATGATTGCGGAACCGACATGCTATAAGCGGGCTCGAGAGGCATGATGGGCGAGGAGCCAAACGTAAATCCCTGAAAATCACCCAGAGGATGGTGGGGGGAATTGAATGCTCCCATCTCAACCCAATGGGGGTTTCCAAGGTCATGATCTTGCGGGTGCTGGGTCTCAGTGTCCATGCCGGGGTTAGAGCGTCAGAAGCGGTGGATAAATTCCTACGGGTAAGCTGTCCACTCCAGATATGTGTTGACGACAGGAACGGCCCAGATGGAAGCGACTGCTTTTGAATGGCCAAGGGCAATCTCAGGGCGCGGATGAGCAGCATACAAATAAATTAAAAAGAGAGTGCATGAGATTCAGGAGTATGAATGAAACGGAAGATGCAGGGTGATAGAAGGACTGTTTAGATAGGACAAGAGCCAACAGCATATATCATTGAGGAGCTTTAAAGTACAAGGCTGGTTGGCAGCTGGTCGAGACTTTTTGGGGGCGTGCAGGTAAGGATATGGAAGTATTAAGTAGAAAGTAGGTCGGTGAGGGGTCACGGTTTATCGATATGAATGGTTACTAGCCCTATCCAATGTCGTAACCTCAGGACCAGGAAAAGCTTGGGCTGGCTGGGGAGAAGGCGGCCGAGTTAAAGCCCTTGGTGTGGAATGAGCTCCCAGCGGGTTTTAGTTAAGCTTCAATAATACATTTCAAAAGCGATGGATGGGATTGAACGGGGATAGGCTGTTTTGTCATAATCTTCCTGAATTCCGAGGATGCTTGTACCACCATGGAACAGGGGCGCGTTAGAGCCCATCGTTCAATGCCAAATGCTGTCTGGCAGGGTACGGGGTCTGTATCGCGAGCAATAAGGGGGGGGCTTGTCCATTAAGTGCTTATGGTAGCATGAGCGAAAAGGTTTGGTTGCTGCCAACCAACAAGACAGCGAGGAAATCCCAGAAGCCCAAGGTTACGGGCTTCGAGGTGCTGTAACAAAAAGGACGCGGACGCGATTGGAGGAGATTTCGCCGTTTTGATACGCCGTATCGAATACCTCGACGTTCGTATCGAGGGCGTATCGTGGTGGCCGGGGAAGCAACGCATGTATCAAGTCGCCAGCCTATTGGTGGGAGAAGACATGCTCCGTCTCGTGGATGAAAAGAGAGCGCAATTCCGTGCTTCGTTGCGTGCAGAGAGCAACAGAGAAACGAAGCGTACGTAACAGTGGTGACACTGTGCGCCATTCATGCAGTCATTTATGGAATGATAGCAAGTCTTCAATCCAGGCGTTGAGAGCACAAGCTGGAGGCCGGTTGGCCGACCGTAGCCCGGGGAGAGAACATGCAAGACTCGGCTGGAAGAATTTTAGTGTTGCCGGTGCGCTCTTGGAAAAGAGTCTCGTGTCAAGCGGCTCCGTTCAGTCGTGCAGGATATGAATTGCAGTCACCATGCCATTTGTTCCATTCGATCCGTCAGGCAAGAGCCCTGAGGACAAGGCAGCAAAGTTTAAGCGTTAAGGTATGCATCACAGTGGGGTTGAGCACGGCCGTTCACATAGGGCATCCGCAAGATGTCATCCTGCCCTCACGTGAAACCTCGTAGCGGGACTTCATCATTGTGGCGGGGAGGCGGGGAGGAGCTGTCCGAAATTGACACCTCCAAGGGAGCGGCAGCCGTTTGATGGGAGGCCAGCTTGTCGATCGGCGGGAGATGAACCGGATTCAACTCCAAGGTCACTTGAGCAAGCGATCTGTGGCTGAAAGGGGAAAATCTCCGCTCAGCCCGCTCTTGGGGATATGCTCCCACGCCCAGCGGACAAGTCGAGATGGGATACGAGTTGGACTCCTGATCTCCCTTCCGCCGTCAAAGGCTTCCGGAAGCGGAAGGTGATGTACGGAGGATGAAAATAGACTGAGTGCAGACAAAACGGATTATCCGTCAAGAAGAAATCATGCTTGCCCTGCCATCTGACAAGAAGAGTCGTTGTAGATCTTGGACCGAAGATCGTCGTTGCGAGAAGAAGCGTATCAAGCAAAGTGGTTACATGACAGGAAACAAAAGGCCCGTTTTTGCATGTTCCCATTGGCTGGTTCTGCAAATTCCCTGTAAAGTATAATCCACTAGAAAAGCAATGCTGAGAAATCAAATACGGCGTGCGGACTGAATGGCTGAAACCAATACAGATCGATACCGGTATCGGTATTCATACCGACTTCGTGTTCCATTTCCTTCTGAAGCGCTCACTAACTAGCGGGACCGGGCCGGCCATCAGCAGCAACTGAAAGGGACTGTCCGTTGAAACAAGCCCTCTCCTCCTCCACCATGCTTTAGCCGAAAAGCCAATAACTTCGATGTCAAGAACTAAAAAAACAATTAAGATTGAACAAAAAATAAAATGAAACGGTGGACGATTTCCGTCCCTTTGCCAAAAGCAAGGATCGAGATTTTTGGCAGGAAACCCAGCCCTCCTGATGCAGGATGAACGGCGATTTCGCTATTTTGGCCACGCCAAGCGTTCTGGCTCATGCGCCTTGATATCATACCGCTTCTTCAATCTCCGTTCTCGCATGCGAGAATGAACTCCGCTCCTCAATTTTGAGAGTACCTTGCCACCCGACAGCTGCTACTCTCATGCAAAATCTGGCGCCCGCGTTGTGGCCATGTGAGCAATGAATATCAAATACTAACGACACCGTCAGTCGCTTGCCCTCAAGCTCGTCAAGGTGATTTGCTGCGTACTGCAGTCAGCTGCACCAAATCCGAAGGGACGGGAGGCTCTGGAAGAGGAGCCAACGTCTCGAGCGGTTTTGAACCATTCGATTTGCTGCCTCCTACGGAGTAATTTGTTGTGACTTTGGGGATTCTCGCTCTCCGCGCCAACCGCCAGCCCAGGTCGATCGAGGGGGAAAAAAAGGCTGGATTCTTCTCTCTTTACGACACACCTCCTCACATGATAAGCCAGTGTAAAGCCAATAGCTTCCAGCGTCATTTCCTTTCATGCTTGTGCGTGGACAAGGAGACCCTTTTTTTGGAAGGCTTTGCACAGATCTCACATTCCTCGAAGCGCCGAGTCATGTAACATGAAGCCTTGGTTCATGCTTTGCACGAAGTACCAGTACACGAATAGCAAGTCTCACAGCATCCCATCGGGCTTTGCTTTTGAAGCGTTCTCGCAGCGCCCGCTCCGCTGGCGTTTCTCAACGTTGACTAGTTGGAAGTTGGATGACGATGATTCCTGAATCTGATTCACCAGTTAGTTATGATACTGAAGGGGTCCCAAGGGTAAACCAGAGGCTCTTCTCATTTGCTACGGATTTCACACATAACAAATCAGATCAATCGCGCAATCCAAGTCATGCGCCGGATTGTTTCAAATCATAAAAAATTTCACTGTCTCCTGCTGCCTGAACCGTGGTGTCGCATTTTACTTGTCCGCCAACTACGACATGTCATGCCCGATACCATCGACCATCGTCAAGCTTAACTAGTTAGTGGACGATTGTGGGGAAGCAGAACGGGGTGATCCGCGGGATCAACCCTGGGCCAACTTAGTCTTCATCAACCCATGCTTCATATCGCGAAGCAGTAAGAGGTGTCCATGGCCATTGGTATCCTCTGTATTATTATACCTCAACAGCACAGTTGCACAATTGCCAAGCTCCAGCTCGCCATCTTGCCAGTCGCAGTGAACTAAATCAGTGGTTTATGTCCTCCGCTTGGAAACCCCAAACCGCAGATACTCTTGACCACCAGCAAAGTGGCTGGTCAAATGGCGTAGTCAGTTCAACATGGCTAGCTCGAACCCGCGGAGATATTGGCGAACCGTCTGAGCCCTTGATTTACAAGCGTTGGGCGCGCGTCGAGCCATATTCAGGCAGCCTTTCGAGGCGGGGTTTTAGTCAATTGAAAACAAATTGGGATGGACGCGGGACATCAAGGGAACAAGCGAGATTCGAAGGGCACTAAGCTCTCCTGCGAAGACTTCCCTTCTGCCCTTGAGCAACTAAAACCGCGGATGGGCGCGCTTAGGCTAAGCAATTTTCACGACAGAAAGCCACTGTTCAGAATCCTCAAATCAGGGGAGGTCAAACTGAACGAGACGGCTATCAACCTTTCCGTTTCCGAGACTCGAGCTTATCCAGCCAAGGGTGCAGAAACGGGTCGAGAATCGTGTGCTAATCCGGGTTGGATTGATACAACTGCCTGGATGATCTGATCCTTCAGGGGACCTCAATTGCCGGGAACAGGGGCTTCTGGAACTCAAGACAAGATGGATGGTGGAATGCAAATTCCGCAGGCCTCGGATGAGCATCTCACTCTCATCATCCCACTTCTCTTTTGACCTCTGTTTCGATACAAGCGCCCATCCCACCTTCTTCCCCCCCATGTCATTATTCAGCCGGGATTGATTTGGCTGGCACCTTTCCCTTTCTTTCCACTAAACGGCGTTGCCTTTGACCCGTGGACGCTAGCAACTCCAGTTTAGGGTGCATCGAGACACAGAAAAACCGCCGATTGAGCGTGTACTAACCTGCTCTAGGCTAGGCATGATGGGTGATTTTCGCTGCTTCCGCTCCCCGCATGAATATCATCCCTGAACATTCCATGCAGTTCTGGTTGAGGATATTGCAGCTTCGAGATGGATAGAAGCAACGAAAGAAGGATGTCCTCCCGACTACGGATCATGGATCTGGCCCACCAGCAAGTCAGCTCTCATGGCGTCTAGGAGGAGAATTGTGATCTTCCTCTGGATGACGACGTCTCTTGTAGGCAAGCATGATTGAAGGAAAAAGCGACTCGGCCCTGTCCTGGCCGCTTTGAGACCACTTCGAGGGAGTGAATCCTCCATTGGGGGCATCAATCCTCCGTGGCCCTCCGGCGATTGTTTCTTCAACGTTCCCTGCTGCTTTGATTTGCCCATCGCGTTCCCTCCCTTGTCCTTGTCGGCGCATAAGGTGCGGCCGTCGGGGCCGTCCCTGGCCCCCTTGATCGATCTCTGCTTTCAGCAGCTGCTCACACACGAGCTAACCACTGCCTTTGGTAGTTATCAAATGGCTGGACCGGCCAGGCCTTGCTTGATGTCAGCAGGAAAAACGGCCATGAAATAGGTCGCAGATCTGTCCCACCCAACCTCGTCCCCATTGATCACCCTTTTCAGGTTGAGCAAAGACGATAACAGCGGCCCGGAGTTTTGGAACTGGTTGCGTTACACGATTCTTTCAGAAAACGTGCACCGTTTGGTTGCCCACGGTTATATTTTCCTTTGCAAGATCCATCCTCGATGGATTTCGTTTCTAGCTGTGAGGAGGAGAACCGGAATACAATTGCTAACTGCTCCAGATGTTTCATCGTTGATAAACACGTACAACCACACAGTTTGCTCTCGTGGCCCTGATAGCGTGTCTATAGATTACATCAACGAGCACAGAAGCTCGGGAAAAATTACACTGATTCTTCCTGTTTAGCAAAGCTGTCATTATGCATATAACGCGACGCCATCCTACGTTCAAAGCCGTTCCTGGAAAAGAGCCTTCCTCGATACCATCTTTGCTTTTTTTTTCCTCTGCTTTTCTTCAAACTTTCATGCTGGTCTCCATATTTGTAACCTGCAAGTATTCCCATGTATGTACCGACAACTCCTCTGTTCTCTACAAAATTCCCGGTGCCTGTGCGCTATGTATGTATCCATAGACTCGGATCCACAATCCGATCTCCAATACCCGCAAAAAGCAACGGCCTCTATAAAAGGCTCCCAGCGCAAACGTCCGGTAGCAAAAAAGAAAGAAAGAAAAGGAAACCCCGTAATGATAATGCCCAACGGAGAGGGACCAGGGAGCTGCTTTTTTGACCTGTCCCACCCTGTTTCAGCGGTGTAACAGGCAAGAGCCGGGAATCTGCCGAGCCGGCGAGAGGACGGTTGAGAATCAACCCCAGGAGAGAAAGCTGACGGGAGTTGCAAGCAGCCCAACAAACGGCGCGGACCCGGGGCTATTTGTTCTTCCTTGTCTTTTCTCGATATCCTGGCATCTATATCGGACTGTGGACTTATCCGGTTTTGAGTACCGTGAACATTTTCAAGGCAGCCTAGAGGAAGCTCCAATCTATCTCCTTACACTGTTTCACATTTTATACTCGAGTTATATTCTTATTATATATATCTATACATTTATCCCGTGCTTTTCAACGGGCGAGTTTCTCCGTCAACCTTCCCCTCAACGAGCTTGGTACTGTTTTTTTTATCTACGTACTGCTGTTTCCGCGGGATGATAACCCACGATTTTCCACTCGTTCCTGGTTAGACAGCCTTGGAACCGACTTTTACTGATGTTCCGTTCAGGATAAACATGTTACACAACCTGATTACTCTATACACAAGCCTTCCCCCGAGCCCAAATCAGTTGGCCCGGGTTCGATTGCTCGAATCACCCTTGGTCCCCGTGTGCTTTTTCCAGATTTTCAATGCCCTGACGGGTCGGTCTCTGCGCCCCTTGATCGGGTTCTCCGTTCCTTTATTTCTTTTTGCTTTTCCTTTCTTTTTTTTTTTCCTTTGGGCTTCTTTTTCTATATGGAGTTCGCGGTTCATCTCCGTTGGACTGTACCAGGAATTATCTATTGGATCGAGCAGTTTGGGGGAAATAAGAGATTTGACGAATGAATTTCCAGCTTTCTTCTTTTTTTCATAATAGTTGGCGAGCTGATTGCCGGTGTTTAAAACCAAAGAGTAACCGTAGAAAGCAAAAAGTTGACTATGGCGGACACATGCGGCAAATCTGGGAGCTTGGACGATCGGAGGTGAAGCTCGTCGAGTAACGATGGCGCCTCACTGCGCACATCCCCCTGATATTTATAGATTCATTGACAATCCTGAATTCACTGCCAATATTACAGGAGGGAGAAGTAGGGAAAGGAATAAAACAGCAAAAATCACTTCGTCCTATTCGCAACCATAAGCAATAGCAATTGAACAGCTAGTTAGATCCGATATTCTCTTCTGTAAAATGGAATCGACACCACTGCAATGCAATCATCCGAACTTTTTTGAGTACACGCCCGAAGCAATGTTCAACAAAGGGGCCGGGTATGAGCAGACTTATTGGGATGAATAGTGAACGGTCGAAAAGGGAGGGCCGATTCGGGTGCTCGACTGTGCTGTCGACGGTAGGTCGACGGGAAAGTTGCTCTCGTCTGAGCCGCTGTCCTTTACGCTTTGCGCGAAACCAGGCGATTCATCTTCCCACCGCTTCGTAGAGGGAGGGGATAGGGATAACGCAGACGCCCGATGCATGGGAATTAGTCTGTACAATACAGACCTGCTTATCTCTTTATAATTGTAACTGTTACCAGAATTAGTATACCAGATATTTTTTTTTGAATACACGAAAGGGACTTTGGTAAGCTTACTGATATCTTCGTCTTCGAGTTCATGACTAAGGCCTACTCTTTGCGGTTGGTGTTTAACCGAACGGCCGTAAACAATAGCATGCTTGAACTGCTCCACAATGGATTTGTGGATGGCATTGCACTGCATTCAATATGAGAAGTGTAAGCGGATCATTGAGGCTTCAGACCAGATTATGAGGGAACATCCTTACAAAATCTTCAACGGTGCGAGCGTTGGATCTCAGCACCACCGGAGCGGTGTAATCCGGAGATTTTCCTTTGGGCTTCGTATAGATTCGTTTGAGATTGAGCTTCTCCCACATTTGCTCCAATAATTCGTCGACATTCCATCCATGCTCCGCGCTGATCGGGCATGCGTTGGGAATGCGATAAAGCAAGTCTAATTCTTCAATCGATATCGAATCGATTTTGTTCAAAGCGTAAATAACCGGTATATAGCTTCGACTTTTAGCCTCCAGGATATCTATTAGATCATCTATCGTCGCGTCACAGCGAATAGCGATATCCGCAGAAGAAATCCGGTATTCACCCATGACGGCTTTGATTTCCTATTGCCCATCAGTGGTGTTTTACCATCCGCAATTGATGAACTCATACTTACATCATGATCAATGTGGGTCAGAGGCACAGTGCTAGTGATCGAGATTCCGCCTTTATCCTTTTTTTTGAAGACGATATTCGGTGGAGACTTGTTTATTCGGATACCAAACCCTTCCAGCTCTGCTTCGATAACCCTCTTGTCCGTTAATGGTTTGTTGACGTCGAGAACGATGAAAATCAAATGACAAGTTTTTGCAACAGCAATAACCTGTCGTCCTCGGCCTTTGCCATCCTTTGCGCCCTGGATAATTCCAGGCAGATCAAGAATTTGAATTTTGGCACCATTATATATGACCTGGCCGGGCACGGTAGTCAGGGTCGTAAACTCGTAGGCAGCAGCTGTGAAGTCCAGTATTAGCGATATCCAGAACCCAACAGAAAGCGGTCATGGCCAACATACCTTCAGAATGCTGGCCAGTCAACTTGCTCATCAAAGTACTTTTGCCGACGGACGGGAAACCAATAAAGCCACTGGAAGAGGAGTATTAGCGTTGATCACTATTAAACGATAGTGTCGGAACATACACGCTCGCTACACCGGTACGGGCGACATCAAAGCCAGCTAGGATAATTGCATTAGCAAACCGAAACTCGCGGTAAAACCCAAACATCTGAGACCGGTATACCTCCGCCTCCACCCCCTCCACCACTTGGGGTCAAAAGCTCTCGTTTTAGTTTCGCAAGCTTTGCTTTCAACTGTCCTGCACAAAGAAATTTATCAGCCTCCTGCAAATGCGAGCTTTGCTATTCCACCGTACCTAAATGAAACGATGTTGCCTTGTTCTTCTGAGTTCGAGCCATCTGTGGGAAGTGTGTTAGAACCGGCATTCCAGCCCGCAGTTCGTGTGGGACGAGCTAACCTCGGACTCGATCTCTTTGATCTGTACATTTTGAAACTATTAGTAAAAGGAACCGGCGATATCAGCGTTTGCGCGTGAAAACGTAAGAGTCTGACCTTGTCGACGGTGGTCGCCATGATTGCGGAGTTTTTGGATATTAGCCTGAGCTGAAACTAATGACGCAGATAACGGAACAAACGGAGAAGCGACTCGACCAGCAACGTTGACGGCCCTGGATGTGCGTCTCTTGAAGTCAAGTGACAGTAGTGAAGTAACAGTCAACACCGGATTGATAACGAGGCCAAGGGCTCTTTGACTGTGGGGGTCGCAAATTTAGAGTTTGATATCGGCGAAATAATCTTCCGTCGCGCCCGACCTCGATTTTAAGTTTCTCGCCAAAAGCCACTTAGATTTGGCGCCTGGGCGCGCGTTCCCAGAGCCGACGACTCAAATGCCAAACGCTGCGGAATTCTGGAGATGCACTCGATTCTCTATCGCTATTCCTGCTACTATCTAGTTACCGCGGAAATCCCAATGCTATATTTTGCCCTGTCTCGCAGTGCCTGTCATTGCAGGTCGGTCAGGCGGACGAATGATGCCAGGGCTGTCGGCAGCGGGGGTTCCACACAGCAATCCTTTACGTAATCGGCGATAAAGGTACCCGGAAATTGCTCACGTCTCGACTTTCGTGGCGATGGGACGGAAACACAAACTGGCTTGTTTGCTCTTGTTCCAAAAGTGCGGCTGTCCACCACGACCTCAAGCCTCATCCTTCACACCAACCTGCCCCCAACCCTTTTTAAACCGACGAGACGCCTGTCAACTCTTCTCCCTCACGACTTCCTCTCGATTCATATCCTTAGATTAGAGCCCTCGACTGTAACCTGATCCAATTGAGAACGTCAGGCCATATTAAGAGCCGATTTGTTTCCGACCACCCCCCCGCTTCACAATGCCGTTCCTCGACAACGAAACCGTCCAGGCGACACCCGTCGTCAACAAACTCCCGTCCGATCCTTTCCACAAACTGGTGCGGGATCTCAGTGACCTCCTTGGCCCCAGCTCCGGAATCGATTCGGACGATGTAGACCCTATGGACATCCAGAGACTGATGGAAGGATACACCTCCAACCCTAATGAGTGGCTGCACTATGCCCTGGCGGACGCCAGCAGAGCCTATACACGAAACCTTGTCGATGAAGGGAATGGAAAGAGTAACCTAGTAAACATCCTGCCTAACAGGAATCGAGTGTCACTGCTAACGTGGACACTAGCTTATCCTCGTGTGGTCTCCCGGAAAGGGTAGCCCTATTCACGACCACGCAAACGCACATTGCGTGATGAAGGTAAGGCAGAATAGCAGCATCGATAGTCATCGAGCATCAGTTGATTTCTCCTTCCCGTAGATATTGAAAGGGTCCCTGCAGGAGACCCTGTATGACTGGCCAGACCAGGAGCGGACAGAGACTGGAGAAGCCTCCCCAATGAAGGTAACCAGACAAAGGGTGTACGGCGAGAACCAAGTCACCTACATGTCCGACAAGGTAAGCAGACAAGTCTTCAGCGGCATGATCACTTGCTCACTCTCGATTAGCTTGGCCTCCACAAGATTACCAACCCTGATCCAAACGACTTTGCCATCTCACTTCACCGTAAGTCCCAAATCCTCATTGGCGATGCCCAGTGCTTTTGGCTGATGAGCGGCAGTGTACACTCCACCGAACGCAGCACACTTTGGATGCTCTCTGTTCGATGAGCGGACGGGCAAATCTCATCATATTAAACAGTGCACTTTCTTCTCTCGGCAGGGGCAGAAGCTTTAAGGAGGTTCCTCAACGCACCCCCTCACAGGGAGCGTTCGCGTAAAGAGTTTGCTGATGAGTTATGATACCTAGCCTTGCTGTTTGCTGTCCAGCCAGAGCCCGCTGTATTGACCGTTTGATCCTGTGTATCGACTGGCGTTGTCCTTCTGTGTTATTTTTAGCTGAAAGCAAGTACTCCGCTCAAAAATGAGATGAAGATAATTTTTCCACAAAGGTTCTCAAGCCATTTTTGTTGCAAGAAGATGAAATCCCTTGTGCGCACAGGGCCCCGGGAGCCTTTTGTATGAAGACACCAATTTGGGTGGGGTTGGTGTTGAGCACGCAATCCACGCTAACAAGCACGCCATCTGGGCTAGTAAATTCAATTTTCAACCACCAACCGCTTTTCCACAACGGACGCAGGATGGTGATTTGACTGCAGCAAACAAGAAGTGCCTCCATTGGAGTTTGCTCATGGATCGTGATGTTCCAAGAGCAGATTCCCACCCATCATCTCTCTAGGCGTGAAGCCTTCCCGACGAAGCACGTAAACTCCCGTCCTTTCTTCAAGCGCCTGGAAGCCCGCAATATCTCCCAGTCTGTTGGCCGGGGGCTGGAGTTTTCTGTAGATCGATACATTCGGGTGTAGTGAAGTTGGCATAACTAGTACACAGAGCAGTGTCAGGACTCCTGATAACCCGCTGTCTTCCGAAGACAATCTTGCAGGCTGTTGCTGGCATCAGTTTCCCCAGCTCCCTCAATCTCTGCAAGAGTTCAAATGATACAGATTTTAGTTCTAAGAGGCCTTTCACCCTGTTCCACCCACCCGGTCTCTAGAGTCTACAGCAATCTCAAGATCCAAAAAGGCCCGAAAATCAAATGCATATCACAGTTCCGCTGGCCCATCGCGCTTAATTAACCTTAACTAAAATCTCCAGCCTCCCAACAGTAACTAACACTTAAAAATAGTAACATGTGCAAGTTCATGTGTTCTTTTCGCAATCAACAGAAGACTCAGTGCTCCGGGCTTCTGTCTCGAGTTCTAAGGTGCGTGTGTTGCCATTTCCAATGGCTCCGCGGTAAGCAGATATGGCTGACAATGCGAAGCGACATTCTTAGATAAGCATCACCAAGTTGGTTGACCACTGCATGCCGCAGTTCGTCCAGGAAAAGGGGACTTTGAAATAAATCCCCGGGCGACCTACCTCACCCGGAGCATGTCAAGATTCAGCTGTATCCGGGGTCTCCTAACTTCAGCTACCTAATGCGCTTCCAACGCGTCCTAGTTCTCCTGGGACTTGCATCCCTTGTTGCCGTCACCCTTTTTTTCCTTCGCACGAGATACGCCCCCATAATACCCGTGTCCCAATATCCGAACAAGCACAATAGCCCTTCGCCGCCCGTTAGCCATCCTTCTCCTGCCGGCGCAGATGCGCATCCTATCGCTCAGCTTCTGAGCAAATCCAAGTCATCCTGGGACGATGTGCGGGCGCGACAGTCAAAAACCCTGGAGGAGGCCGTGAGAGAATACCAGCGCCGATATAGCTTACCACCCCCGCCCAACTTCGACGTTTGGTTCAAATTCGCCAAAGCGAGAGGGGTCGAGCTCATTGATGAATATGACACCATATATGAATCTCTGCTTCCCTTCTGGGGTTTACAACCCAAAATGATCCGTGACAGGGCCAAGGAGGCCCTTGGGTTTGATAATAGCCTTATTGGGGTGCTGATTCGGAACGGAGCGGTCAGCCTGGTTTCTGGCGGCGGGGATTCTCAGGAATGGAAGCGAAAGGCGCTGGAAGGGATGATGAAGCAGTTTGTGCAATACCTCCCGAATATGGACTTGGCTTTTAACATTCACGACGAACCTCGAGTGGTTATTCCTAGCGGCGATCTCCAACAGCTGGTGTCGCATGCGCTCAATGTTGCCATTCCACAGACGGCCAACCGTTCAGCCCACAATGCCTGGACAAGCCCGGCTGATCTGAACGGGGGTGATAGGATCGACGAGTTTAAGACTACGAGATTCAATCGGTTCGCCCATCAACCGACTTGGACTACTTCGCGAAGCTCATGTCCGATGGATACACCGGCCAGGGACCTGAATGAAGTCGCTCCTGACAAAATCGACGCGTACCTTTTCGGTGAACTGGGCTTCGTGTACAACACCACTGCGTTCTCTGACATCTGTCTTTCGCCGTCTCTTAGATATACCTTTGGAATGTTTGAAAGACCAAATGCTATGAGTATCGTTCGCGATCTATTTCCCATATTTGCCGAGAGCAAAGTATCGAGCTTTCAAGATATCCTCTATCCTAGCCCGTGGTATTGGTCCGGAAAGGTGACTTACGAGCAGGGCCCCAACTGGGATATAAAGAAAGACCAAATGTACTGGCGTGGCTCTACCACTGGGGGATTCTCCAGGGCCGGAGGTTGGCGAAGACAACACCGGCAATTGTTTGTAAAGAACATCAACGCCGTGGATGACGTGAAAGTCTTAGAAAAGGGTGAAACCAACTGGATTACAAAGACGGTCAAAAGAAGCGATTTCAAGCAATTGTTCAATGTGAGCTTTAGTCACGTCGGCCAGTGTGATCCGGAAGACTGCGAAGCGCAAAAAAGCTATTTCGACGTCGTCAAGCCTTCACCCCAGGACGAAGCCTGGGAATTCAAATACCTCGCGGATGTTGACGGAAACGCGTTTAGTGGACGGTTCTATGCTCTACTGCGGAGTCGTAGCCTAGTCTATAAACTTGCCGTCTTCCGAGAGTGGCATAGCGAGTGGCTCCGTCCTTGGGTTCATTATATTCCCTGGAGTCTTAAAGGAGATGAGCACACTGAGAGCGTACGATACTTTTCGATGGAAGAAGAAGGGCGCCAGCATGCTGCTCGTGTGGCCCAGGAGAGTAGTGGCTGGGCGAAGAAAGCATTGAAAAACGACGCCCTTGAGGCTTGGTTTTTCCGTCTTTTGCTAGAGTGAGTTGTCTGGCCTACCATCCTTGGCCCAGTGAAAACTGACTTGCGATTAGATACGGGAGAGTCGTCGACGATAACCGAGATACCATAGGATTTTCCCTTGACTCGCCCTGATTAGGAGGGTCCCCGCAAAGCATGCTACATACATGAAGATGGTATGTTGCGTGATCGCGAAAATAAAACTGCGCTTTTGGGATATAAAAACTACTTTTGGGTCAACGGGAGCGGATGAATGGGCTTAGCTTGTAGATTTATCTTCTGTATTACTTGTATTTATAATGAACGGGCACCTTTTGCTAGAGATGTGTTGATAATGGGTTTCAAAATGCGGGACATACAATTGAGCGATTATACTAGATATATCATATTGATAAGAGCAGATTGAAACAACAGCCCCGCCGCGATAAGACTTTGATCGTCTTCACACAGAATGCGGAGATTTGCCCCCAATCCCAAAGTTTCCTTCTGCTATCAAGAGTGATTGACTTTGGATTGGCATCTGATTGTCGGTTGAGGCGAAAACGGGAAACTGGGGAAGATGACATCAGCACATTCTTGATTCAAGGTCAAAACGTCCAGTTTCTATGTTGCCTGTCAACCCAGCTTGTTATTCATCCTGGCAAACGGGGTGACGATCAACTCTATCAGCCTGAATCGAGAGGAAAAAGAATAATAATAAAAGAATGATTGCAGGGAAACAAGGCAGGCTATCACGTGCCGCAACTGCTGTCAACTATTGCTCCCCAGGACCAGGACCAGGACCAAATGCCTTCCATTGTGGACTTTACAGAAGCTGGTTAAACTACCCGCTGTTTGCCTGTCAGTTCGTGGGGAATTGACTTTGGGTTGGAATCCAGGACCGCTTTTAGTTGCTTTGCAGCCGGGGGCTGTGTGATCCTGACAATCAGGGACGGATGGTTGTAAAAACGACTCTCCAAGCCTAGAGGCAAACTTCCTGCTAAACTGTCCCTCGCGCAGTCAACATGGCTCCGTTCAATTGGGGGTCTTGGGGATTGTTTCTGGCCTTTGGGTATGGGATTTTAACCTTCTTTGCGTACGGGATTATCGCCATTTATAGGGGAACATTCTTCCGGAGACCGACTGAAAAGGAAAAGTTGGAACTGTTCTTAGGTATGTTCAAGGCCGAAACCTCATCTTCTTCGGTTTTCAAGTGTCGTTTGCTTCTTTGGTTCTTCTGTCAATGGCGAGCTTCCTGCTTGTTTGAGCTAGTTAACTAGTTAGCTACAAGAATCATGCTGACTGGTAGGCGTGGCAGCTCGAGATCGATTTTGGGACCTTTCGAAATCATGGGCTGGCCTGTCTCATCGATTCTTGACGTTGAGAAACGGCTTTAAATTCCATTATGTCACGAGCAATGGCTTTGAGAACCTGGCGCATCAAAAGTCTCACAAGCAGCTCGTTATTTTCTTGCATGGATTTCCTGACAGCTGGGCGATTTGGCGGCATATCCTATCTTCATCCTCGATACGAGAGGCGAGCATCGTGGTTGCGGTGGACCTTCCTGGATATGGCGGGAGTGACTCTCTAAAGAAGTACGGGGCCACGGAGGTGTTGGAGGCATTGACGGAATTTATTATCAAGATCAGGGCCGAATGCGGAATGGACAGCCCCGAGGATGAAGCTCACTCGCGAAAAGTGATTATTGTTGGTCATGATTGGGGCGGTATGCTCGCATTTCGCCTAGCTGCCGAAGCCCCTCAACTGGCCGACAGGTACATTATTGTCAATGGGCCTCTGGTGAGATTTGATACCGTGACTGAACGTAACTCTGCCTGCTAACCTAGGTGTTATAGGTTTCCTTGATGAGATCAAACATTCATCTGTTAACCGAATCGTCCGCCAAACTGTTCAAGACCTTTCTACGAGAACCTTGGCGCTCTCGGTCACTTCTGCTAAAATCGATTCAAACACTTAAACCAGTGATCCGCCAGTTCCGGCGGTCTGCGTACATCTTTACCTTCCAGCTACCCATGCCATTGGTGCGGTACTTGGGAAGTGGTGGAAACTATTCGTTTCTAAAGGAGATTCATCGACTCTCCGTGGGCCAGGCAGATAAATTCACCCTTCGAGACGCCCAGGAGTCGATGGCAAGTACTTTGGGTCCAAGTGCGGAAGAGTGCGAAAGTTCGACAGAAAATGGCGAAAAGTATCCGCGCTCGGTGCGGGAGCGTGAGAAATCCGGAAATTTTGGCGACATCGCATCATATTACCGTGACGGCGCGGCTGGAGGAGTATGGCATAAATCATTGGAAACGATCTCGGCGCTGTTCAACATTTGGCCAGAGGAGCCTCGAAGAACAAGTAGCGGGACGGGCATGTTTGATATGACGCCGGGGGCGTTAAAGGCCAATGCGACGATCATATGGGGAAAATCAGATCTTGCGCTCGATTCTCATCTGGCATTGGAAGGAATCGCAGACTACCTAGTCCATGGAAGTCAACTGATCGTGCTCCCCAGGACTGGCCACTTTCCTCAAATTGAGGCGGAAAGTAGGTCTGCGTTGGAGAAGGCAGTCGAATGGGCTGTTCATGGCGAAAAAGGGGATGTCGGATCGATGGTTCAGTCTGAGTATCCAGATGCCAAAGTTGTTGTTCGAAAATAGGTGGATTGGGGGAAATACGGATTTACGATTTCACTGCGCTTTGATATATTCTGGCTTTCAGTTCACAAAGTTGCAATTTTTATCATAACTACCAGGCGTTGAATGGGCGCAGACTCAATTTGCCTTTATTGCGATTGTGGCCCTGTATGCTTTCTCTTTATAGTAGATTAGTTATGCATGGACGTAGGAAGCAAGTTGAATGCAATCTGCATTGCTGGTTATAATAACGACTTTGCAGTTCACAAGAATTCCCTTTTGCACAAATTGTCCTGATGATCAAAAGTGGCGTTTATTGTATTTGCCTCAATGTCCTGTAGGTCTCACTTGTGGAACCCTATGCCACCGTCCGTCTATACGTCGTTATGCGGAGATTTCCTTTGCACCTTGTAGAGTCTCTATGTGATAAAATCTCCATAGACACAATCTAGATGGGAGTTTGAAAATTCAAGGGGCAGGTTCTTGGGCCACAATATTGAGTTGACCTATAACTATGCCATCATTGGGAATTAGTTCACTGTCCTGCCTGTGATCAAGTTTCTGTATCAACTGGGATACTCATCATTTGGTTAGATAACTTGTTGAATCACTCTGTGGGTGGCAGCTTACTACTTAACTGCTTCAATGCTCACTTCATCCAACATTTGACTGATTTGACCTGGCGAACCCACGGCCATTATTAGTGTTTAGTATTCTTCCGCGCTTTGCTTGGAGCTTGAAAGTCGATGTCACACGCACAGTTGAGATAGTGAGCCGCTTGTTCAACCCCCAGTTGCGGAGGCAACGATTTGACGGGAGTTACCCAAGCAATCGTGGTGACTTTGTTCATGCCGCAGATTCGCTGGACTCGGCTTCGATGCTGTAACTATTCTTCCACTTTAGCAATATAGATAGCGTTGCTGAAGTTTGTTTGCCTGCAATGATGGATGCCAGAGAAGCCATTTACTGCACGGTGAGTGTGGCCCCGGCGCACGCAAATTAACGGGCTAACCGGTTCGTTGTAGCTCTTAATGAGCGACAGCTATCTTCCAGGTCGGTACGGTCCTAGTCGCGCGGTCTTTCTGTTGTTTTGTTGACGCCCGCCAGGTGCCATGGTGCTGGCCCGCTCGCTGAGGGACCACGGCACGCAGGCAAAGATCGTGGCTCTCATTACGCCAGAGAGTTTGCAGGCGCAAACGATCGAGGAGCTGAAGGTGCGCATAGTATTTCTACAAAAGACCCGTATCTGCCATAAGTCATTCTCAGCTGATTAACACGGCTTGATCTAGTGTGTCTACGATGAAGTGATTCCTGTCAGCAGGGTGATCAATGTGTCCCCGGCGAATCTTTACTTGATGGATAGACCCGACTTAATATCCACATTCACAAAAATAGAACTCTGGAGACAGGTCCAGTACAAGCAAATTGTTTATATTGATGCAGATGTTGTAGCGCTTCGAGCGCCAGATGAACTGCTCACTCTTGATACCCATTTTGCTGCCGCTCCTGATATTGGCTGGCCGGATTGCTTCAACTCCGGTGTCATGGTGCTTCGCCCAAGTTTACAAGAGTATTATTCCCTTCTTGCATTTGCGCAGCGAGGAATCAGTTTTGACGGGGCAGACCAAGGCCTCCTGAACATGCACTTTACAACCTGGCAGAGACTAAGCTTCGCCTACAACTGTACCCCCAGCGGACACTATCAATATATCCCTGCATTCCGGCATTTCCAAAGTACTATTAGTTTGGTGCATTATATTGGTCAGAACAAACCGTGGAACCTACCGAGACAAACCTTCCCCATAGAAGGCCCTTATAATCAACTACTCGCCAGATGGTGGTCTGTCTATGATCGCCATTATCGACCAGTAGCACCAGTAGCACCAGTGGTATGTAAAGAGCCTTATAATGCTAGATTAATTTGCTAACTTATTGGGCTATCAGACTCAGCCTGTACCAGCGAAGCTGGACCATGTTTCAGCGAAACAAGAGCGTAGCCTGCCAGCAACGACTGAGTACGCGGGCTCACCGGGCCAACCAGTTTCTATTCCCAGCACATCTAGTTTGGGACCCCCTGTAGCGAGGGACGTGTCGAGGTCCGCGGTGCCATCTGCCATTCCTCTATCTGAGGGAGCCATGGGACTGGCTGGCTTGCAGTCAGACTATAAAGCCCAGGCTCCGGCTGTTGACACGCATGATGTGCTACTTACAAACCGTGAAATCACGTTGAGCGCTGTTCCGCAGCATGTACGCGGGGAGGAGGATGTTTCTATCCCGCGTTGTTCATTCCCACTTGCGAGCCAGCCAGCAGCTGAAGACCTTGGTGGTGGCAGCGGAACCATACATCAACCTACCGCGCATCGTTTTACGACTCTTTCACCAGTAGTCGAACCACCCACTCAATCCCAACAGCCTTTGCTGCAGGCAACGCAAGGATTCGCTACGATCAAGGATAGCGTTTCCGAGCCTGTCGATACAAAAGGAAAGAAACCTGCATCTTACGGTACCCCTCAGGCAAAGCGGGCTGTTTCTCCTCCATTGATGACATGGGATGCCGCACGGTAGGTGCTCCGGTTCGATTAAAGAAAATGGTGTGTGTCTAAGCTCTAGATTTCAGTGCGCCGCCGCCGGTCGACTCGAAACCCGAAGCCGCCAATTTTCCCACCCAGACATACACAATGTCCAAAAGTAGGAATTTGTTCCAGCCGCCAAAATCGTATCCAGAAGCGCCAAAGGATATGTACTATGAACTTCCGCCGAAGGCGCCTATTCCGGGAGCAGCAACTCAAATTTTTCCTTGGGAAACTCAAGCTCCAGAACCGTCACGGGTGTTCTTTGATGAAATGGAAGACACGACTGAAGCAAATTATCTAGGCACAACTGGCCACCTAAAGGCGAATGAACGCTTTAGCATGGACACCGAGCTAGACGCCAGTCAGATGTCTACAAATTATTGGGACACTTACGTGCGATCAAACGCTTGGGATGAGGTACCGGAAATTGAACAATACATCCGGTCTGTCCAGAAACCTCGCCAAGGGAGTGTCCAAGTCCTTTCAGGGGGCATTCCTGGTGGGAGAAAATCAAGCTTGAGGCTAACTGATTTTCCAACTGAAATTGAGCGCCCAAGCCTTCCTGTAACTCCGGCTCCTATCCGGAGGCAGAGCTACGGGCATGATGAGGACCAGGGAGATCTATTGGGCGCTGAAGGTGTCCCGAAACAGGAGGAATGGGTGCGTTTTACGGTTGATGCTTTTACGAATATCCTTCGAGTAACGTACTTATACTGTCATCTTATAGAATCCCGTGGAACAGCTCGAGAGACTTCACCAGCACCATTGCGAATTTCTGGATAGAGCTTTGCGAGACATTCCGAAAGAGGAGGCTGGGTGAAGGTTTAGTCTGGCATTCTTATGATCTTCAGCCTGCTTCGCGCATCCTTTTGTTTATTATTTATTTCTATGAGAAATAAGTTGATACCCTTCAAGTTCAATATGCGTCACTAAGCTTATCCCTTTCTCATACTTTAGTATGTTGAAGAATGTTTAAGATCCGTTGACCCAGCCGTTAAAACCCGTGCTGGATTCAGGCAGTCTAAATTCGGATAATATCAACGGTGCTTGGGTCCCTGATACTTTTGGTCTTGTCAATACGATCGTTCCTCCTTTTCAACTCCTTTTGACTCCATTGACCTCCCTAACCACATACAAACCCACATCCAATGCATAAATCGCCGCTGCCTCCATCACATACCTTCTCACATGCACAACATGGAAATACGCCACAACCAAAAGCCCCATCACCATCGCCACATGACCCAAATAAAACTGTCGTTTTGTCAAGGTCTTTCCCCCAGAACTCATGGACCAGATAGCCCATGCTAGGATAATCCCAGCCATCCCCCACTGCACGTCTGCGTCGCTGGAGCGCTTGGCGAGGAGAGATTGACGCATGAAGAATGTGATGTAGAGGATGGCATGGAGAGTGAGGAGTGGAAAAAGAACAAGCCGGCCGTAGAGTCGGTGGTAGGGCGTGAAAATGGCTTGCCGGACACCCAAAAGGCGAAGGACGAAATTTGACCGTGAGGCTAGCTTTGGCGCGAAGAGAACTTGAATGGGTATGGTGGCCATGGCGGTGTGCGCGAGGGATTTGGTGAGGTGAAGGTAGTCTGCTTTGACGGTTCCCGTAGGACAGATGTTAAATTAAGGCTTATTATATCATGACTCTTTCCTAACATTGAGTGGAAGAACAAGACTGAAAGTCCTGTCAAAAGTAAAACTGCCATGCACATCCATGCTACTAATAACTCCGCCCTGGGTTCGGTTTCAAACACACATAAAAGGGCCCTTAAAAAACAAAATCACCACATACCGTCATCGGTCCGCCACGCAGACAATCCCACAAGCCACACTCCCCACGCCAGCGTAAGCAAATACTGCCTCCTCGTCTCCCTCCATCCCTTGACCGGCGGGGAATCAAACCAGTTCTTCCCCGTTTTCTTCCCGCCTGCTGCTGGTGAGTGAGCAGAGACCGCACGCCAATACAAACTGGCAGCCAGCAACAAAAGCAGAGCAGAGATTTGGGCAATCGTCCCGCGCAGATCGAGCAGTTCGCGCCGCGCTTGAACCTGAGCTGCCGAAAGGGAAAGGAAACGATATGGTCCGCGGGAGATTGACATTATTGTCTCCTCGCCTCCTCTTCTGGGTGGATATAATTGGGTATATGTTGAAAAGATTGGGCTATTTTAGGGGGAGAAAAGAGTCCGGCGAGTGGAGTCCCCAGATTCCACAGTCCATCAAAGCTCTAGGATTGATATATTGATATTACGTGCTATGAATATAAGGTGAGAAGAAAAATTGAAGTTTGAAGTTTGAAGAACTTGGTGTTCCAGATGGAACAATTCACAGGCGGCTGCCCCTTTTGGGAGAGAGCTAGCTCCTATTACTAAGCACTGGCAAGGGGCTGTGGTGTGCAACCAGGCCGACTTCTTACAATCATTGGTTTCAGAGAGCATCAAAACTGAAAGGCAATAGCAATGAAGAGCTGCCTATGCAAACGGTTACGTCTAATCTGACATAAAGGCCACGCCCCAGGTCTAAACCATAGAGATTCCATCCACGATAGGATCGATTTTCAAGGCCGACATCTACCAAGAGAAAAGGAAACAGCGCAAAGATGGATCATGGCGACGTTTGCATGGCTTCCCCATAATTTCCTGCCGCTGTGGTAGCGAAGTATCTCACATCCACATCATCGTCCTTCTTCAATTTTTCGAGATTGTTCATGATTTGCTGTTGGATAATGACTTGGCTTCTTGGTGAAGGTGTTCCTGCCTGACCGGATTTTTCGAGCTCGCTGATTGTGCCCTCTTCTGGTAATCGCTGAATAATATCGATCAATACCGCATACGACTTTGCGACGTTGAAGCGGATGTTCGGGATATCGTCGCTGGCCAGTCTGTTCAAGACCGGCAAAACCGAACTTTCAATCATTTTGAGATTTATAACAGGGGCAAGAGTCTCAACAACAGGTCAGCTACATCTAGTAAAATGGTATGTAATGCGGCACTTACGCTGATAGCGAAACACGTTGTCATTCGATACAGGTAGTTTGGATGTTGGCCCATAGCAACGACCTTGGGGATAATCGATTCGTTAGCCCACTCGACGCCAAACACCTCTGTCAATTTCTTGAGATTTCGAGTTGCAGCTTCTCGAATTGAGAAAACAGAATCTCCAAGCCAGCTAAGGCAGAGGTTGTTGAGTATTTCGTCGAAAAATTTAGCACCAAGCTGGCTGGCCAACAAGGGAATATACTCGATAATAGCCAAGCGAACGCGCCATTGTTTATCTTCGGCCAGCTGAGAGATTGCGGGAAGTAGGGATTGAGATAGTAATTCGATACCAATTACTATGACATGGTTAATTGGGGTATTTCGGCTTCCACATTAGGTATGCACATACCATTGTTAACTAACTCCAATTTTGATATGATGTGGAGGCGGACGTCGGGGAAATCATCTTTGAGCATCTGTAAAAACATAGGAAGCAGATGGGATATGGTTCTATTTACGGTTAGACATATCCGAAGACGAAGCGAAAGAGGGATGATTGTACTCTTCTTTCCCCAGAATTGGAGCTAGACCACTGATCTGTGTTCCCAACGCCGCACGAACATGCTGAGATTGGTCGGAAACGAGATCTTCTATACTGGTCATAATTTCATTCAATAGTGTTTCCCGATCAAGTAGAGAGCAAAAGCCTAGATTGGCGGTTAGATGTCACACAGCCACGCGCTTTCAGTAGGGGGGAATACCTGGAATTTGTCCTGCAATTGCAGTTCGAACTTCCGCCTCGGTATCTTTGAGCAATTTAACAAAAGCTGGAACCAAGTCACGATTCACGACTTGGTCATCCACCGCTTTCGCGATCTACGAACGTAGCCAGTTAGTTGACATACTGGATGCCGGAGCAGGTTTTGTTACCTTTTCGAACCTATCAGCGACCATATAACGGACTCTCCAGCTTTTGTCTTCAAACAATCCCCGCAGTGATGTAAGGAGAACGCCGTGACTCGATTGTTGTTCCTTTGGGATTTCTTCAGCAATTGAAATTAGGATCTCAACTGTAAGCAACCGGACACTATCCTGATCATCGTTCGCGAGATATTGGAACAAAGGAATCATTTCATCGATGATAACGGGTGCTGGCATTTCCTTCACAAATTTGGCAAGGTTGTTGGCTGCTTGACGTCGAACCATGGGTGTCTCATCGTGGACAAGTTGTCCGAATTGCTGTCGCATCGCTTGCTGCAATCCGGGCGACGCATTCTTATATGGAGCACAATAGAGGCCCGTTGCAGAGATTTTGGAAGTAAACCAATCTACTTTGGAAAGCCGGACGGTCAAGGGTATGAAATGTTCTTCGATCTGCCTTGGCGATAGCTGGTCGCATATTTTATTGAGTGACTCTACAGCCTAGATGGGAAATGTGTTAGATCGCCGTTTGGTGTCTGTTGTATCGACCAAGGGGATTTCTATGGGAGTTGCATGCTCGCACCTTTTCGCGAACCAGGGGCTCCTCGATCGCAGCCAAGTTTTCGAGCGGGGAGAGCAGGACATGCGCGTACTCGGGGCCCCCAACGTATTCAACGAAGTTGCCCAATTCCTCGCTGAGGGCAGTCAAAACCTCATCTTCATCTTCTATGGATTCTGCGAAACAAATAAGTTTCAACGCACGGCAGCCAGGGTCGGTCCTAGGAGTGGAGACAAACCATCAAGAAATGGAATTAGTTCTTCGCGTGTCCTTTCTGGACCGAGAGCAAGAGCGATGGTCGAGAGTCTGTGAATGGCGTTTAAACGGAGCAAAACATCGTCATGCTAGTCGTGGGGAGGGGTCAGTACCACGCCTTCGATCTGAATGCGGGGAGCAAACGCGATAAGCGATTGATACCTTAAGTTCGTCGATCAACACCGCGATAGGGTAGAGCTCGTCATTTTCGCCTTGGCCTTCCATGATGAATAATTGTTCGGACGCCACGATGGATACTCAAGGGCAAGAGGAGATATTAAGGCAGTGCGGGCGACCGTAAGGGGGAGGGTAGAGCCGAAATGTTAGCGCCCTGGTTCGAGATAAATAAAGGGTTTCAGAGGTTGAATTAAAACATGGAGGAGTTCCCGAACAGTATATCCGGCCTATCGTAACATGAATCGGTCAGTTTCTGTAGCTTCATTCATCAAGCATGGGACCAAAGGTGTTTTGGACAAGGATTCGCAGAGTGTCTCGTGGGGTTCACAGGGCACGAAGCCGGCCAGGACCAACGTGGAAGCGACATGAACACACCGTCAAGCTTTGTAGAGCAATTGCAAGCCTTGCACAACTCAAGCAAGGCAATGTGCCAGAAGGGAAGATTGCAGAAAACAGGGACTGAGGATCGGGGGCGGTTGTGGACTGTGGTGGCCTGAAGTGGGCGGACTGATGCAGAGACAATTATCACTTGAAGCTTGCGGCGCGGAGCATCAGTGACATGGCGATTAGCTAAGCCGGCGGGTGCTGTGGCTGGTGCTGTTTGCTTGCCCGTCAAACACTCCTGATTTTATGACTCGAACTCGTCTCTCCAGAACTCGAGCTGCAACGTTCGGCGCCGGCGAGGGATTCACTTCGACACGCTCTGCAGTCAAGCTGGGACCCGGTTGCGTGACACTAACTATAGTACTCTGCTTGAACCCGCCCCTTCCATTCTTCGTCTGACCGCTGTGAACGTTGCTTCTCCCGCCCTACCAAAATGCCGACGATATCTGTGGACAAGGCCGCTTTATTCAAAGCGCTCGGTCAAGAGTGAGAAAATGAATCCGCAGTCATTGCTCCATACCTGATCTGTCTAATGCTTGCTTTCGTGTTTGGCGTAGATATACCACAGAGGAATTCGATGAGCTATGCTTCGAATTTGGTGAGCCCGCTATTTGCCCCGCAGTCCGGGAGTTGACTGCTAATTCTTTACGAACTAGGCCTCGAATTGGACGAAGATGTACCAGACGCTGCAGCCTACTGCGCATTGTTCGTAGCTAAGGATTGTCTAGACCACGAACGCTGAGCGCCCAATTGTGAATGGAATCCAAGAACCCCCCCAGCTCAAGATTGAGATCCCCGCCAATCGGTCCGTTCAGCCTCCCTTTTCACCCGATGTTGCGACAGCTAAAACTCAATAGCTATGATCTCCTATGCTTCGAAGGCATCTCCCTGATGCTAAATATCTTCCGCGGCCGAACCACTTTGCCCAATTACCGACTGGTGACTCCACCAAACGGAGAGCTCCAAACACTGGTCGTAAAGGAAGAAGTGAGTAAGGATCAGGCTCACTATTCGAGACTCTCTCTAAGATAATTGGAATAGACTATGAAGATACGGCCTTATATATCGGGTGCAGTGCTGCGGAACATCCATTTCGACAAAGCCCGTTATGACTCTTTCATTGCCCTGCAAGACAAGCTGCACCAAAATCTTGCGCGCCAAAGGACGTTGGTGTCCATCGGTACGCATGATCTTGATATGCTACAGGGCCCATTCAGTTATGAAGCTCTGCCTCCTAAGGAAATCAATTTTGTGCCCCTAAATCAAACCCAATCGATGAATGGGGAGCAATTGATGGATTTCTATGAGGTGCAGCTTCCTACAGACATCAATTCGCTGAAAGCTTCTAACATATCTACAGAAAGATAAGCATTTAGGAAAATATCTTCATATCATCCGTGACTCCCCGGTATACCCGGTTATCTACGATTCGAAGAGAGTAGTGTGCTCGCTTCCTCCTATTATCAATGGCGACCACTCCAAAATTACCCTGAACACGAAGAACGTTTTCATGGAGATCACCGCCACGGATAAGACCAAGGTGGAGGTCGTAAACAATATGATGATGGCTATGTTTTCCCAGTATACTTCGGAGCCTTTCACGTAAGTTTGTTTCCTTTAGATAGCCGCCTTCTATTGACCCTTGCCCTTCAGGATTGAGCCTATCAAGATCATATCCGACCACAATGGTCAGACTCGCCTGGCCCCCAATATTACGCCACGGTCAACCCAAGCAAGTATCTCATATATCAATCAGTGCTGTGGCTTGGAACTTTCTGCGCAGGAAATATGCGATCTGTTGAAGAAGATGGCCTATATCGCACGACCTTCCAAGTCTTCTACTGACCTCATTGATGTCGAGATACCCATGACTCGTGCAGATGTGCTTCACGAGGCTGATATTATGGAAGATGTCGCGATAGCATACGGCTTCAACGAGCTGCCGAGGTCTTTCCCCAGCAAATCTGGAACTATTGCACAACCTTTACCCGTAAACAAACTCACAGACATCATCCGCACCGAAGCTGCAATGGCGGGATGGTCGGAAGTTATGCCATTGATCCTTTGCTCTCATGATGAGAATTTCGCATGGCTTAATCGCAAGGACGATGGCAACACCGCTGTGAAGCTTGCAAACCCTAAGACTGTGGAATTTCAAGTGGTCCGAACCAGCCTTCTCCCTGGCCTTCTCAAGACCATACGTGAGAATAAAAGCCACAGTGTCCCGATAAAGATTTTCGAAGTAAGTGATGTTGCGTTCAAAGACCTATCTCTAGAACGCAAGAGTCGAAACGAAAGACATTTTGCTGCCGCGTGGTATGGAAGGACCAGTGGCTTCGAAGTCGTACATGGTTTACTTGACAGGGTGATGGCTATGTTGAAGAGCGCATTCATCGTTGGCGAAGAGGGCCTCGACAATCCAGAAGTCAGCGGCTCGCGATACTGGATTGAAGAATTAGAAGGTCAGTTCGTGCTCTTTTTAATGTTCAGCTAATATTATATTCCCCCTTGAAAAGCGAATACGGCCTCGGGCGACTTATTCTAACATGTACTAGATCATACATACTTCCCAGGCCATGCTGCATCGATACATGTTTGCATTGGAGGAAAAGAGCACATCATCGGTACTTTCGGCATATTACATCCGACCGTGCTTGAGAAGTTTGAGTTGAAATATCCTGTGAGCACGCTTGAAATGAACATCGAGGTGTTCCTGTGAGCCCTCAATTATCGCGAGTAGGTCTTTAGCTCGGCTTGTTAGATTCTATGAATTGAATACAAAATAAAAAAATTCCATAGCTCTTGAGAGACCTTAGATGATGGTTTAATTGTCTTTCAGAGTCATATTAAGTCTTGATAATGCAACGAGATTTTAGATCGTCGTCTCATCAGCAGTGAACGTTTCCTTGGATGGAAGTAATTTCTTTTTATTTAAACTACACTCCTTATCGCCAAGTCCTGTCCATTCAGCAGAAACCTAGAAAGTTGTTGCATATTCATCATGCCCATTTTAACATTCCTAGGACAATAAAATCTCGTGGGGGTGTAAGAAAGCGGGAACCAGAAGGAAGTAGGAAAAGAACAGCGGATTAATTTCACTCTTCAGGAGCAGGGGCACCTTCAGCGCTAGCTTCTTGACCTTCTTCAGCCAATCGCTGCTGTTCGGCAGCCTGTTGGGCGGCCGCAGCTTTGGCACCATAGTCCTGGCTCATGGGTTGGAGGACGGGCTGTTCTTCCTTGGGTTCGATGATGGTGACGGAGTCTGGGAGGGATTTCTGAGGTCCGGACTTGCCCTCAGGGTCGCTGCCCCGCATGATCTTGACCTTAATACCGAGCACACCTTGGCGGAGGAGGACGTGGCGGGTAGCGCTGTCGATAAAGTCCTTGGCGGGTTGACCGGAGTGAATCATGAAGCCATCCTATAGAAACAATCGTTTGTTAGCCCTGCGAAACAGCCCTGGCTGAATTCCGAGTATGTAGCGCAAGTATGTCGCTCCAAACACGAAAGGTTTATCCAGCCATCACAAAACCATCCCCCTCAATCGCACGGTTCAAAACGTACAGTGAACTTCATGCTCTTGGCACGAGCAGCTCGCAATTTTCCAGACACAACGACCTCGCAACCCTTGGCACCGCTCTCCATGATGAATCTGAGCACACCATAACAAGCTCTTCGGACGGCCAAACCGTTCAGCAATTTGTATCGCAAGCTTTCGCACTGAGCAACGGCAGAGAGACCACGGTTCTGGACCTTGGCGGCATAGAGGGAGACGGAGTTTTCGGGGAACTTGAAGCGCTTTTGGATGAGGGAGGTGAGTTCACGGATGCGGCGACCTTGTTCACCCAAAACCTCCTGGGTATGAGTAGCGCGGATGACTAGTAAAGAGCGAATCGAGTCAGTTAAATCGTTGGCTCAATGTGTCCGGATAGACGAAATGGTATCCCTGTCCGCCCATATGCCCTGAGAAGCCTGACTACCCGGCAAAATTCGAATTGAGATCCAGAAAAGAACAAAAGCACGTACTGATGTCGGTGACGGTGGGCGTGACCCTGACTTCAACACCAGAATAGCCCTCCTCGGCCAACTCGCGCTGGAAGAATTCGTTCAATTCGGCGTAGAAAACACCGTCGGCCACAAACTTGCGGCGTTTGGAGATCGTTCCCTGAACAGCTGCCATGTCTGCTGATTATGCTGACCCGGTTGTCGAGAAATCCGCCGAGGGGACGATGAGGTCGTTTGTCGAGAGCTGGGAGAGAGAGCTTTTGGATTCCTGGGCAGTTCGTCAAAAGATTGGAGGTTGAATTCACATCTGCCATTTCAGTGGGGTGGACGGATTGGGAACCTAGGGCTTGGGGCTAGCCCTGACTTCGACCGCCTTGACGCTAAACCCCTTTGGTCCAGTTGGCATTGGCGTTTCTACTCTGTTTGCACTGCGTCGGCTTCTCAAATTCAAGGTAACTTGCTGCTACAGGGCTTTTCTCTAGATAGTAGAGAAGTCTTCCAGTAAATATCATTCCCAGACAATGTGAACCACGCCAAGCCATGAACCCATTCAAACCCTCCCGGCGCCCGCTATTCCAGTCCGAAAAAAAATGAAAAGCCGTCGCCAAGATATCCAACATGAATTCATTTCATTTTCGTTGCCAGCATCAAAACGGGCAGCAGCCGGGCCCATTATTGCATCTCAACCTCCATCTCCTTTGGGTTGACCAACGGACTCCGAGTTCCGGGGCTTCCTTCTCTTCCTGATCCTAGCCCTAAACCAGAGAGGCCTGCAGCCAATGCCGCGAGTCCGGACGACGAGGAAGCTGGCAACGTAGGCTTATTTAGAACTCCACTGCCAATAGCCTGGTCAGCAGTTTCGACGCCTGTCAAGACTGGCGTCCTTGTTCCGCTTGAGATCCCCCTCTCCCTCCCAAGACTTGTGTTCCTCGCAGGCGGTAGATTCATTTCAGCATCTCGTCTCCCAAAGGCCTCACTCCACCATCGAACCTCGTTGGTTCTGGGAAATAATAACCTCTCCTTACCCCTTTTGTTATCATCGATATCGGGGTCGTACTGAGGGTTCAAGAATTGCTCCCTTCTGGCGAGAAAGTAATCCCAAACGCTCCGAGTCAGATCCTTGGCCTTCAAATCGACACGTTCTTTTTCATTGTTATAAAGGAAGGTGCCGTACTGGCAAGCATAGAGATGATAGAGGAGTCTTCTGAGAAAACGTTCATTAAATTTGGAATCGCGTAGGATGTTGGTAGAGTAATTGGTACGTGGCATCGAGAAATTGATGGAAAACGGGGCTTGTTTCTTTGACTTTCGTAACTTCGACATCGTTCGCGGGCGATTTCGACCGTGGAATGTTTCTCCTCGAATCCACATCAACCTCTAGGGGTACAATTTCCCCATCAGAGTCCGCTAAGGAATCCCGACTGGCGTTGTCTCTATTGAAGAATCCTTTGGCGCTCAAAAATGCGTTTTCGATAGCTTTTCCTGCCGCACCTGCGTCCCCAAATCCGCTCCGAACATCCCCACCGGATCGATCATTTTCAATCTGAAACCATTTCTCGCTATTCAAGTGCCCTGATCTATGGCGGAACATATGACCGAATGAAAGCCAATCCTTTTCAACGAGGACCATGAAGCCCTCAAACGTCCTGTAATAAGGATCAAGACACAATTGGCTGAGCGCACTCAGCTGGCTAGTCCTATCCCACCCATCGGAGCAATGTATCAAGACGTGTGAATGTTGTAAACCAACCTGCCTTGCTATCAGGGCAGTGCCATCCAAAAGGCCGGTGATATGTTTTAACCATCCGCTTCGGGCGAGTTGATCACGATTGGGCCCCAAAGGCGTCACGTCGGAATCTTTTAGGGCGTCGACAACCCTGTTGAGAGAATCTCGCATGACGTGGATGTTATCGATGCCCAAGTAAACCTTTGTGGCAAATTTATAGTTATCCATGTTTTCTGAACCCAAACCAACCGCCTGCATTGCAAAAGCATTAACGGTTGGGCGAGCGTCAACTATAAGGTTATTTTGCTGTGCACCATATACATGTGGTTTCGGCTCGCTAGAGCCTGGTTGCACTGCTGATATCATCTCGTCTTCCAACTCTTCCGCGTTCGAGAATTCAAAGTCAGACTGGACGCCGTATTGGTCCTCCGTACTTGAATTCGATGATTCTGCGCTCAAAGACGGCGGGGTTCCGTTCCTAGACTTGTCTTGACGGGAGGTAGAGAAAATTGCGGCAAGAAGCTTTTCATCTTGAATACTTCGATTATTGCGGACACCAACAAGTGGCTGTGACGATCGTGTGATGGAACAATTGTTGACGGGATGTAGGTAGGTTAGAACCGGTAGCCGAGCCCTAGAGCGATATCGACCGGCGTAGTTAATCGTATTATCCGAGATATTTGCAGGGACTGCCAGTAATGCGGGATATGTTGGCGCGAACTAAAGCCGTCAGCTTCACATTCAACCCGATGCGTCTCCGCCGACGTTCGGAGGTTTCCTACATTGTAATCAATATTTATCGTGGATACCCTCCAGCCCGAAGACGAATCCGAGTTTCCGACGCCCAAGCGCGCCCATTCTTCCCTGGGCTTATAGAGGTCCCAACCGTTAAAACCTTGCTCCGGCGGTGGGGGCTGGTACGTGAATGCATATAGCTTTTCAACTCGACCGATTTTGCAAGTCCAAAGCTTTATACTCTCATAGGCATCCCTCGCCTGTGCTTCGTTCGGGAAATACAAGCATACGAATGTAAAATCCCGACATCGTATACGGATCGAGGACGGTTGCCGGGAAGTGACGCTCGCCGGTCTAAAAGTGCAAAAGCATATGATCGGATATGTAATCCACAGCTCGCGGGGCTTCACTGGCACTGGAGCATCCTGAGACCCTTCGGGAGCCGGAGGTATATGCGAAAAGATTAAATGATGAGGGGTCAGATGCAGCGTGCCTTTTGCCCGCTCACCACGCCTGGACAAGGTGACGTTGTCCACCTATGTATTTCAAACTGCTATGTTAGCTATTTTCCCAAAACAGAGCTGTAGAGTACAAGCCTTGGCTATCCGGGTCTTTTCCATTTTTATATGTCGAACCCTCTTTCCCTTAATTTCAGCCTGAGGAGAGTAGTAGCGTCATGATCTCGCGAGAAGTTTCTGAACGGATTGGCGTTGTTTGCTTTTCGAACGAGAGGTTGCTAGAAAACAAATTTCTATAGCTGGAAGTAAAGAAGATGTGCAAATAATGCCAGTTGATGCCGATGGAAAGGCAGACCTAATTGAATATCGAGCCTTTGGAGTCAAAGATCACACAGTGACGCTTCCAAAGTCTGGGCCGGCTAGTTAGTTAAGTTACGTCAGTCAGTCTGCGGCACACCTAAACAGCCAAAATCGTTGAAGTGACCCTCATGAGGTTAAGTAATATCAGTCTGGATTTCTGCTATCACTGTCTCTCGCTCCTAGTACTTTGCCTGCTCCCTAAATTGAGACCTGCAACAATGCTTCTCAGGCCTCAACGCCGGGAATATGTCCATGGTATATTCCAGCTTCATACGGAGTGCTGCAACCGATCGATACCCCTCAACTACGAAATTTCATCGGACGCCTCTATTAATCCAGCCAGCCTAAGGATCACCGTTTCTCATGTTGATGGCTTTTACCCCTTTAACGAAAAGCACAGGCAGACTATTACCCTTAGTTTGTGCTGTGACCCCCTACAAGCTCTTGATAACAGTATCACTCTAAAACGTCAAAAATCATTGATAATAACCCAGGCGCCGTCTATGGATCACATCGCTTTCCATGATATAAAGAAAGCCAGGGGTATTAATATATGCATATGCTGCATGTGTGTAGCCACATCAAACGCTCACATCCCCAACTCCAACAGAGCGGCTGAATCCGGGCAACTCCTATTGTCTAATATACAAATATCAGCTGAACGCTTAAGAGCCCATCTATCCTTTCAGAGAGAAAAAGAAGACAAAAGAAAGTCAATCAGTTTGATTGATGCTTATCTTAAATCATTGGTATGGACTTGTGGAGTCCCTGCGCCTAATTCGAAAGCTAGCTGACAGGCACGACTGTATAAAGGTTGAAATAAAGCTTTCATGGAATTGTCCCCAGCTTTCCCGGCCGAAGCGGGTTTGTGGACATCTCGGTGGATGGCCAACGGTCGTAATTCATCGTCATACCGGCCGATTGCCAGGCTCACATTAACGTTTTGTTCTGCAAATACAGGCCCCATTCTTGGGTTTGAGAAATTGAGTTCAAGGTCTTTGTAGTTGAATCTCGCAATGCTTGCGGCTGTGAATGAACGCAGAGGTGGATAGATATATTCGCCTTCTGTGGTGCCTGTTTCCCCTTCAGCATACTGCGGGGCATTATCGCGCTTATATCGAGGAGTCTTGATCAACTTTTTAGGGATAGCGAGGTTGCAAAAAGATGGCATTGGGGGTTGATGGCCAGAAATCGGCTGCGAGTACTGAATATTGGCGACGCATTTCGCTAAAGATGATTGCAATGGAGAATTTTCGTCCGTGAAGGATGAAAATTCACGGCCTTCGAGAAGGTCATAATACAAAGTCCTGGTAAAGCGAACGTCTAAGGCGGTTTCCGGTAGAAGGAAGTCGACATTTCGCTCTTGGAGAATGGCGGTTGCTTTCCTAAAGATCGGTGTCATAAGGACTCCATGAGGCTCTTTGATCAAGCCTTCAGTCGAGTCCTCGACCCGGGGTATTACCATTTCTAGCTCTATAATGGGGAAATCCGAGTCATTTGTTGGAGATGGAAAAAGTCGAATCCGATGAGTTGTTTCGTCAGGGTCAAGAGGGTACAATGTTTTCAAAAAAGACCAGGAGTTCGGAACGTCCGCAATAAATGCTCGGTGCTTGCTTTGCTTATGAATTTTGGCGAACGTAGCTTCTCCGCCTTTAGAAGTTTTTTGAACAAGATATTTGCCAATACTGGCCGTAACGACTTCACGCGTGAAAGGGCCCACGTTGTCGAGTTTGGGGTCGGAAAAGAGTGACTGAGATATCATATCCAACGGAGCATGCTGCCCTTTACCGTATATATTATCCGGCGGCCTCCTTGCAGCTCTCCCGCCCCGTATATCATTATCGAGAAGAGGCTTCATCCACCTAACCCACCGCTCATCTCGCGCTGGTAAAGTGTGGAATTCTGGGCTTATCACAGGGTATAGTCTAGCAAGTTGGTCTTCTTGATAGTAAGTAAACAAATTATGGGGTGGTTGGACATGTAGAGATGCCATAAGGCATACACTTTTGCACATCTTTTCGGCATTCAACTCGTCACCCTCAAAGTAATGGCAAGTGAGCGATTTGGGGTGATTTCTGGCCACCGCAGCAAACACCCCATGGTACTTTTCAAGATCCCATTCGGTACTTCCGCTCAAGAGATTTGTCTTTTTCTTTTATCAACAGAATTTGGCGCTTTGCGATTTTGATTTCTTTGGAGTGAATCGTAGATGCCAACCGTTCAATAGCTGCCGACGCTTGTAATGAATCGGATTCATTACCTGTTATCCTGACAAGATCCAAATTCGGCGTCACGTCAATCTTCACGTTGTACGTTTCTGCAAGCGTCTTGAACGGTTCTGCCCTGGATACCAAGAAGGTTGAAATGTGAGCCCAAGGAATTCGCATATCCAATTGGCCAACTTCGTTCCGTAATGAGAGTCGCCAGCAATCCCTCATAATCCTTTCCGCGAACAAAGGTTTTCCCTCAATACGGTTCAACCTTTTAATTCTTATTGACCTTTGCCTTTGGGCCTTGCCGCTTACTTTTCTGCTCAGCTCCAAATAGAGAGATGTTCCAGGCCTCCACCGAGGTTCGCTAGTGTCACTGTCAACCTCATCGAGACAGTTGTTATTGTAATATTGCTTTAGTTGAGGTAATGTAAAACCGTGCTGAATAACGTCCCGGAACTTGTTCCAGTCAATCGGCAATAATCTGTCTCCGGGCTGGTGGAGCGACCTAAGGTGGTCGAAATTGGCCGATACCTCCTTCGATCCCACCAGTTTATAGAGTTCTTTGTCCACCTCCTCCAAGATTTCGGATGGAGTGCTCAATTGCTGATTTCCAGCCTGCTCTTCAACCAGAGGTTCAGGCTTCGGCTTCGGGTCTTGAAGCACGAGCACATGGGAGCGATCACCAAGGGTATCTATATCGAGCGGCTCCACGCGACACTGAAAACCATTCGATCGAGATGAAGGTTTGGGGCTTTCGTCCTGTGTTACATGTGACTCTGCGTTGTCTGTTTCGCTGCGAGTGGTGTATGGGAGGAATCTTCGGGGCGAGGTGGAAGGTATTGATGCTAGGGGTCGCAGGTGATATCGGGGGCGGATACGGCATCGTAAGCAGAGCGCTGCCCCGCCGGCAGACCTTTGAAACATAAGTCAACAAAGGGACTCTGTTGCTCACCTTTTCAACAAGTTTGGCATCGAAACTCCATCCACAATACGACATTGAATTTTTGATGATGGAGCTGGAGCTGGGCACCGGGGATAGGTTTTCCCGGATCCTCTCATCCCCAGGGCCAAGAGGAACTCCAGTCTCCTTGACTCCTTGAGATATGTAGGCACCCAGTAAGCAGGGTACTAGTCTCTAGATACATCACCGTTATAGATTTGTTGCTTAGGAAACTATCGTTGCTCCCTAGCAAATCTATACTGGTAACCCGTGGGTTTCTCAAACCCTCGCCTGGGCCGCTAGTTATGGCTCTTCCGATTAGGTAGTCTACCGGTATCAACTCAAACAGTTCTTTCACTATGTAGGTACGGAGCAAATGAAATTCAATCACCTGACATAGAATTACTGGATGGCCTGCTCTAACTATCCCTTTGGCTTATGGTACAAGAATACAGCAAATGACCTCAGCCGCTTGGGAGGCAACTGCTAGATGGAAGCAGATTGCTGAATCACATATGGGCAAGTTAGTGGGCAAAACAGAGGCAACAAACCTAGTGGCCCATTGCAACCATGAGATTTGCAGAAAATGGATTGTGGAAAATTATGGCCGCCGAACCATGATAATCCACAAGTCCTTTGTTGCATTTTCATTTAGCCCACGAGATCTCCCAACTTCTGAGATCTTCTCGGACTTCAAATTCGCTTACTTCGCGGTTCTTGCGTCGCTTCCCTTTGCCTTTGTGCTCTTTATCACCAACGTCAGAGCTAAATGAGAAGTCTGAATGCTTGCTACGGCTGCGAAGATGATTCCCCAACGAATCCCCTGATCTTGTACTGCGCGCAGGCGATTTACTTCGAACTGTGCGTCGAGACTCGGCATCGCTCAGAGATCCAGTCTCATCTTCGTCGTCATCGCGTTTGAGGCTCGGACGTCCAGATGCCCAGCCGTCACCTCCGGCAAAAATGTCCTCAATGACTTGATCTGGCGGCAGTTCACCAGCTCGGCTAGCCCAGGAAGCAGCAAGGTTACGAAAATAAAGATCTCGCAACTCTGTATACTCCGCAGTTCTTTGGTGAAACGAGGGCACTCGTCTTGCATCCTCAGACTCTCCTTTGGTTGCGTTCATGAAGCCGGCGATCCCGCTGAAAACAGTGGCGGGTTTAAGTGGAGGCCTGGGAACGTATTAGCCGGTAGTGTGCGTAAATAAGGCTTTGGACATACGCAGTAAAGTTGCTTTCTCCTTCGATTTGATGCATCATAATGCCGATTTTAACTGTAGCATTGATTTTGCTGTTCTGCATCAAATACCGACGCACTACGCCTTCTTCGGTGTCACCTTCGTCGACATATTCGGCAAGATTTAAGTCAATGTTACCAAGTAGTGACCTATCACTCCGATTGTTCGGCGAAAACTCTTGGAAAATATCAAAATGGATTGCGCAGTCCTGGAGCATCTGGTTCCGGTCGACCATCAGCCTCACGGTCAATCCCTTTTCATAACCCCAGGTGGCTCTATGGGCTTGCAGCTGCACTTTAGCCGTTTCTCCAGCGTGTTCAGGTGAAGCCGATGACGGCAATTGCCATTTCACATACGCGGTGCCGACTCCGAGGGGCACATTGATAATGTCAATGATCTAGCAAGTATCAGCAAGACGTGGCTGAAAAGAAATACAGCGCGCAAGGAAGCTTACACGCAGAGTAAATGTGAACTTCGGCTAAATCATATCCACATCAGCTGCTTGCACCAAAGCCTAGGGGAAGCGGGAAAGTTACCCGTCTGCTTTTGGGGACTGAAAGTACATTGGTTAGCTCACTGGCTGCAAAAGCAACAACCCCCAAGGGATCCATGTTTACACCCACATGGAACAGTTGGGAGATGAAGGGAGATTTGGTTAAAACTCACCAAAGGCCTGCATCTTTCACAATCGTCCTTTGTGAGTGCTTTGCTCGGCGACTGCCTTCCTCCAATTGCAGACTAGTGCCGTTTGCCGGGGGAAGCAGCAATCAATGAGTGCACTTCCTGTTGTTCATAGCCTCAGGTTAGCTACTTGACATCCCTTCACGACAAAATCATTTTGCCATGGGTTGCCATGAGGTTGTTGAGAGCCACAACAACAGTATCCTGTCTGGTTAAGATAAGTTAGTTATCACAAGCTCACGTGAAGATAAGGTCCACAGGACCAGGCGCTAATAAACGCATCGAAGAAGCTTATTCAGATCACAAATCCCCAAGCGCAGAACAGCAATTGCATTCCACTGCATACATCAATCGGAAATCAGCTACACTGCCCATGATGAACCAGCTACCCCCATCGCCCCCTCCAGAACCGAGATCAGAGCCTCCGCAACCGGTTCCACTTACGGCGGTTTCGCGGACGACGCCGATTCACGAACTCCTACCCGATATCCGTATCCCTGCAAGCCCACTGCCGCCTCATCGATACGATCCTGTAACTTGCACACCGCTCGATATAATCCAGCTAAGATCTGAGCTGCAGCAGCTTCGTAAAGAATATACTACATCAGTTGCTGCCTTGAAGGCGCAAACGGAGGCAGCAAAGGAGGTGAGGCGACGCATAAAAGAAGCCGAAACCAAAATGGACAATATCCAGAAGCAAATGAAGAGAAAAACGGAAGAAAGGGATACTGAAAGGAGGGTGTTTTCAAAAATCAAAAAGGAGAAGGAAGGAAAAAGATAGCTGTATGCTTTAATTCCTACTAGACGACTTCGGTAGACTTTTACATCTCGCAGCTCGCATGCCTTTAGCCTGGGAATGATGACGATATGCACCATATCACTCAGTTTCAAAACCGTTTTCTCAAGGAGATACCGGAACTACCTCTACGAATTTGTGGCGCTCCCTTAGCCCCCTACATGCAGTCTCGTTTGGCGTTGGGTGAAGGATACGGGAGAATCACATATGACTCGCTTTCAATTGCCACACGCTTTCTAAATGAATTTGCTGGCACTCAATGTAAGTAAAGCTCATGACATCAACCTACTTCAAATTCATGGCCCCATCCTTTTACTGACCAAGCATTAAGTGTGTCTAGTCACTCATCTATGGATAGATCTGATTCAGCCAATCATTTTCGAACAGCCTAGTATCGTTGAATGGTATTGATGAAGCACCATGGTCCATCCTTGGGATGAGTAAACACAACCGTTTACACTCTGTTCTCCCTTCTTCATAGGAGATCCTTCAACTCCTCACCGTATGTGCGATACCCTAAAGGGTAACCGAGTGTAGCGTCTCGGCTGCATCCGATTGAAGAAGCCTTCAAATTGATCCGGAACTTGGAGGTTCGGTCTCACGGTTACTTGTTGGACAGACCAAAATGGAGGGCGTTTTCACGAACCGGTCACTTTTCCCAAGCCAGGCTGAAACACTCACCTGTATATGAGCGCTATCCTTGCTACCCTCATTGATATCGTTATCTGAGGGTTGGGAGTAGAAAGATCGGTGATTTGGGGGTCAGTCTGAGGGTATGATAGCGATACCATCATGATTGGACCTGAGCTTGTTTAGAGCTTGTGGAACGGATCATATCACGCTGTGATCCTATGCTCGAACGCCACTAGCCGCAAGCCCTGGGCGATGGACGGGTCAAAAAGGAACTCTCAGTTGTCGCTACGCAGCAGCAATCCGCTATGTGTTTCAATTCATGCGAGCAGCCCTGTTTCTGCACTAGGTGTCCGAGTCTTAGCGGTAGATGAGGAATCGAGACTCACCTTTTCCCAACTTCATTCGTATGGCAAAACATCTCGATCCCACAGATATCGGCTGTTTCAAGAAGGCTCCCCCATGTTTCAGAGGCTGCCCGTATGCATGAGTTAGTGCATTTGCAAATATCCGAAATACACGCGGTGGCGGTCAACCACCGTCTGTCGCGTCTCTAGCCACGGAGCCATACTGGAAAAATGGATTTTTTGATTACCATAATATTACAGTAATATAACCATACATCCAATCATATGTGTCATAGCTTATGTTATCATAACCCTACAGTAACAGAATCCCACTATGTTGTCATTATCCATTCAGAATTCTGATGTAGTCACCAGATTGTTGTATGTTGATCTACATAGCATTGTAAGAAGAAGTTCCAAACATAAGATTACTTTATTGAGACTTCTATCTAACATGACTATCTAACTATCTTGCTATCTTTGAGTTCCTAAGCCACCAGCCAGCTTCAAATCATAACAACAATATCTCTCAGATGCAGTGAAGAAATGTACTCAGTAAGTGAGAATCCAACACAAGTTCCTCAGCATCAGTGCTGACTGATATTGTGTGCAAGCTAGACCTGTGAATTGTCAGAAGATCTATCAGATTGAACTTCTCTCTTCTCATCTGCAGAATCAGCAAGTTCAATACTATATTGTGCTTGATTTTGTGAATCTGAGCCATCACAAAGAATATAAGATACTGTCTCTCTCAATAATGTATGAAAATGTCTGTGATTTGCTCTATTTTAATGCCCAATGTGTGAATATATTCAATAATATCATCAAGAACTATCATTGTTTAATGAGCATCATTACAGAATTCAAATATAGTCTTCTTAAAGAACTGAATTAAGATGAACTCAAATTTATTTATATTAAATATATATCAGTCTTCTCTGTATGATTTCTGCAGTTGCTGAAGAAATGAATCAAGAATTAACAGTTTTAATAGATGCATTATTAAGATCTCAAGTGCTTGAATATCTTTATCTGACTGCAATCAGAAGAAGATGTTAGATGTGACATGTATGTCTGTTAATCTGTATTATAACTTCAGAATATCAGAGTTTTTATTATCACTCTGCTTATATGTATTCAGTCACAGCAGTTCAATTATCAGTGTGGAGTATTTACAGTAAAGAATTCAGAGATAATCTGTAGCAAGAGACTTCAAATTAATAAAGAAATCAGTCAACAACAGAGACAGAGTATGTTTAAAACTTTTTTATATAAATAATATCTTTTCAACATCTTGCTTATTAATTTTCTGTACTAGACTCTTGTATTCACAATGCTTATTCTTCTCAATCAATATATTGCAGTTATTTGCAATCTCATATTCTCACACCTGATTAGCATAGTGTATCTCAATGTGCATGTTGAAGTGATTCTTTAATGCATTCAAGACTTTCTCTGTCTTTGATGTGATGCTACTTAACTATTCAGTTGAGTTCTCTATTTATAATATCTGACTTGATATGAAGATCTGCTAAAATCATAAAATCATAAGTGCTCAGTTTTTTAATTATGGCAGCTCAGCAGCTGTTGCAGCAGTATTTATTATCTTTTGTAGCAGAGAGCAGTCTTCTATCATAATAATCTGAAGCTTTGCTGACTCAATTAATATTTATAATATTAATGCAGAGTTGCTTCAAGCAACAGCACTGAATGCTTTAGCAAGAAGCATACACAGAGCTCTTAGTTCAAGTGTTGTATTATTAAAGAAATTGCATAATATCTGCCATACTACTGATTGAATCCAGTCTGGAGTTATGATATATCAGAGAATAATCAGAATTATAATGAACACTCAAGCATGCTTCTGAATCTGATAGAAGTCTAAATGAGTTATCAGAGACTATATTCAGTCACTTTATCTTATAAATGAAAATCACTGTAGTATCCAACAGTATTTCTTCTGATTATTTGCTGTGAGAATATATATTATTAACAGTAAATGCACCATTTTGGAAATACCACTTAGTTCACTATAACAGAAATCTGAGAGAAAGAAGATCATTAAATTCAGATATAAACAGATTTTAAATATTGAAGACTGATTTTTTATCATTTCATACTTCTTCCACAGCTTGTCTCTCACAGCAGTGGTGGGTGCTGCATTAATTCAGTTCTATATATAAAGTTGCTGGTAGTGATATCAATCATTAATTACTGTGTCAAATGACATATTATATCTCTGATGTTCAGCAACAGTGCAACTTCAATATGATCAAATGATCAAGAGTCTTTTAATTGCTGCATTATTATTCTGCTGTAACATGTCACTCAAAAAAGCAAGACAGAAAGTAATTATTCTGACAGTTCTCTCATCAGCAATTTCAACATTAATATTTTTATTAAGAGATTGAAATTCCAGTGCAAGTGCATCAATTAAATTGAAGAAGTTTGTTGCATGCAGTCTGAATAAGATAATGTAGATATTATTTCTTCTTCTTCTCTTGAAGACAGAAAATCTGATGAGAATTAAATAGAAGTCTGTAATGTTTCTGTACATGTTGCAATATAACTCAAACCCATCAATAAAAAGCTGGAATAGAATAGAGATAATCTGCATTATTATATAATTAAGACAGAGCATTCTCTTAAGATTATTTCTGCTATAGTGGGCAATCTCCAGTTCTTCATACAGAGAAGTACTGCAATTAAGCAGACAGATATTCATTCAGTTATTAATTATATTAAGAATCCAGCACATAAAGTATTCAGCATGTGTAGAAGATGAATCTTGCAGATTTTCATTAAAAATATAATTAAGAGAAATATTCAGTCAACTGAGTATATTTTCTTCATGCAATAAAATATATCTCTCTTCATTCTCTAACAAGAGCAATTTTCTCTCATGAAAAGCTGATCTTATATTTTGGAACAACATGCTGTCTGAGTTGGGATCATGTTAAATGATAGATTGAATTCTCAGAAGAATCTTGCTAGATTTCAAGACATCAGATCTTTAATTTCAGATGATAAATTGAATTCTTTCTGTATGAAAGATATGCTGTCTCACTCTGCATGAGCATTCACTTAGACTGCATCTGTATTGAATAAAATTCAAGAGAAATACTGATTTTTCATCAGAATATCTCACAAAGTTCTCTGAGATAGATCTTGCAGAGCTATCTCAACTGAGAGACTGTTATAGTTCAGTTGAACTATCTATCAATTCAGTCATGTCAATATGTACATTCTGACAGAATTTCAGTAATCAAGCAAGAGCTGCAAGTAGAGCAACAGAATTCTGAAAGAACAACTCTAACTGTAACAGAACTTCAGATAGATTTCTATTTGCAGCAGATAATGTTAATATTTGCTGCAGAATAATTGAAATAAATATTTATTAAATCAGCAAAATGAGAAATTATAATCTACACTTTCTCTTCAGAACACTGAGATTTTTGAGTAGAGATTTAATAGCATAAATGTTTTTAAGTAGATTGAGTACTTCTTGAAGTAATTGATACTGCTGACAAGATATTTCTGACTGTTCACATCATAATCTCAGTGCAATTGCAAAGTGATTGAGACTCTCATGTTTTCTGACTCTTATATATGACATCATCTGAGAAGTATCATCTTTCAGATTCAGAATACTGCTTTTAACTAACTGCTTATCCACTACATCTGTCAATACAGAGTTGTAGATGATATCCTCCTCTTCATTGAAATCATCAACATTAAATAACATATGCACAAGAGTTTCTTTAATAATATTATTGACTCTTATATCTTTCAGCTCAAAATCAATATTCAAGACATCAGAGAAGATCTGCACATTTAATCATAAGTTTAAAAATCTATATATAAAGAGAAAGAAGAATGAACATATTACTGAATTGTAAGCTTCTTCAGCATCATCCAGATTCATAAATATATTGAGTTTCAAAGATATATGATTTTTCAGTGATATCTTTAGCATAGCTGAAGTGTCTGCAGTTTGCTGTAACTGCATAACAGCTTCATGAATCTGATTTCATGCAAGAAGTTTCATGAACTTCTTATGATTTCTGCAGATCATGTTGCAGCTGGAGAATGACTGATTAAAAAGAAGAGTTGAAAAGTCAAGAAGTTGCAGCAGACAGAATTCTGATTGTCAAGTAATATAATAAATAATATAAGAATTATCAGTATGCAGCACTTGAAATAAAAGAAAGAAAGATTTAAAAGATCTTTAACAGAGTTTTGATTATATACTTATAAATGAATGCAGAGCAGCAAACTAAAATGCACAATGTTAAGATCTGCAGATTCACAACTCTGAATCTGCAGATCAACAGTTTCAGTTGAGTTGATTAGTCTGCTCAAATGCAATGCAGAATATTTATTAAATTAATTAACTTGTTACAGTTAGTTTCAGAGACACAGTTCTGTCTCAGAGCAGTTTGATAACTTTTATTGAATTAAAGTTCATCACATCAACATTATATCTTGCTCTAAAGATATATCTATATAAGAATATGCTTTTCTCCAGCTATTCATCTCTCAAAAGATCAAGATCACTGTACTGTTATTAATATTAATCATGACAATCACATTTTCAATCACTTCAGCAAAGCACATGCTCTTCTGAATTATAACTGTCAATTCAGAATTAAGAGTGATGACTTCATTCTTCACTTCTGTTATGATCACTGCAACAGAAGAGAAAAATGCAATTAACTTAAAGCTTGCACATTCAATAACACTTCATATAGCTGTGCTTTACATCAAGAAGACAAGTGCTAGAGAGAAGATTATAATTATTGAATTGAAATGAATATACTTTCTAATACTGAGCTATAACAGAATTCTGAATATTGTTCAGAATGTCTACTCTCCTCTCAATATCATGTGCAGAACAGAGTATTGATGTTCTGAATATAAGAGATGAGTGAGAAATATAGTAAAGAACTGAAAATGTATTACTTTAAAGAGATTTAAGATAAGTTCTTCATTCATTCATATATAAAAAAGTTCATTAATCAGAGTATCTACAGACACATATTAGTAACATTATAAAACTGAGCTTTCAAGAGAACTCTAAATATGAGATACATACAGTGAAAGACTCATTCAAGCTCACCAGTTATTTTGTGAGAGAATTCAATACTGATGGCTTTCACAATATGTTTCACTGAATGACTAAACTTCTGAATATCAACAACAGTTTATCACAGAGAAAGTGATTTATAAAGTATAGATTAAGTCTATACATTTGCAAATGAAGTTAATTAGTTCTAACTGTTTGATATAGAGATATATGCAAATCTTGCAACTCAGATGAAGCTCTTTCTTAATATTAATAAGTAAGATTGAATCTTTAAAAATGTCAGAACTCTCAGTCAGTACTGAAATATTATTATAAAGAAGTCAGAGCTTTGTGATATTATACAGAATGAATTTGCAGAATTAAAGACATTGTCTGTGAAAATATCTCAGCAACAGTCTAAAAAAAAGATCAAAATACTTAATGATATCATACTGATGAAAAAAATGCTTCTGAAGAAGTCATTAAAGAAGAAGTTCAAACAAGAGTCACTTAAAGAAATACAGCAGTCTGTCAGAAATCTGTCAACTGCACAGAAAACAATTAATAAAAATCAGACTCTGTCAGAAGAAGAAGAAAATAATAATCAGAACTTTAAACTTCTTTCTTCTTCAGTGCAAGCAGCTGCTTCAGTGTAAGCAGCAGTTCCAGCACAAGCAGTTGTTTCAGTACAAGCAACAGTTTCAGCAGAAGCAGCTGCTTCAGTGTAAGCAGCTTCTTCAGTACAAGCTGCTTCTTCAGCACAAGCAGCTGCCACACTGAAGACAATAACTTCTCATATATGAATAAGAAGAGAATAAATAGCTGCAATTAAAGCAGCTTCATTTCAATTAAAGAAAACATGTCAGTTCTAGAACTCTATTAGCAAATATGAATTTGCAATGAAAAGAAATGTTTGATTTTGAGACAGATATAACTGCAATAGATGTTAATAAATGCAATACTTCATTCTAAATCTGTTTTACTTACTGTATTTTTATTATATTCAATTGCAAATGTCATAGGAAGAGCTCTTGGTCAAGATAAAGACAGATTGATATAATTATAATATTTAGAAAAAACAGTGCAAATTAGACTTACTGAAATTCCAAATAAACATAAATCTGTAGAAATATATTCTGATTAGAAAATCAAAACATTCAGATCTTTAATATATATAAATATCACACACAAATCTCATCTTCTCTTCTTTTTCTCTTCTCAGTCATATCACATTTTCACCCCCTCCCCCCCCCCCACTCTCTATTAATTTTTGAGTAAGTTAAGGAATTCTGAATGATTTCTGCAAATATATAATATTAGTTAACATGTATAGCTTTTTTTTTTCAGTAAAAATGACTTCTTATAGAAGCACACATGTCTCAGCTCCCATCATCACTTCTGCAATCATTCTCTTCTTCTCTTCTCAATTCACAATGTGTGACCACAAGATCAATAATAGTGAGCATAAGCTTACAGTATGTCTATACTGTGTAAACTGAGTGTATACAATACACCTCAACAAGCCCTGTGACTACCAGCAGAAAAGCAACAAGATATACAGCAACTGCACATTAATGAAGAAAGCTTGTATGTCAGTTAATGAGAAACATCATGAGCAGATTTCAGCACTTCTGACTGCTTATCAGAAGTTTAAGCTGGTGATAAATTCTCTTATGAAAAAAGTATATGTTCAAGATCTTCACCAGCTCACCACCAGTCTTCTCAGTATTATTAAAAAGATGACAACTGCTGTCATTATCTCTCTCATCTTCAGTATCACTGCTGCCATTCTGCCCTCATTCTCCAGCATGAATACTCTTCTCACACTTCAGAAGAAATAAAAAGACCTCTTAAAAACAATTTTTCAAACTTTTGTTATAAATTATCTATATATTTATTAATCAAATTATACTGATATATTTAAAAAGTAAATTGAAACTAAAGTTGACTCTCTCAGAAGCAATATTGTGACTCTTCAAAAGAAAATTAAAAGTATTTCTGCTGATGACATGAGTAGTTCAGTATTCTGTGAATAATGAATTGTACTGACAGAGTATATAGAGAAAAAGAAAGCTCAAAAGTCCCACTGTCAGTCTGTCAGTAAAGTCTGCTCACTCTATCTCTCTCTTCAGATGACATCAACTTCAGCCTTCTGTGTCTTATTTAATGGTGTGCCATCTGCTGCATCTGACTCCAGCCAGATCTTCAGATCTTCATGGAGATCAGAATCACTTGCATTGTCTCCATTGCAATTCTTTGCATCTGTTGTGTCATCATCCCCCCCTGCACCTGCTGAAAGTCTGGCCAGCTTTGAGTCTATTTTAGCAGACAAAGAAATGAAGGAGATCCAGAAGAGACATGATTTCATTCTAAAGATCTGATTTTTTTTTATCTTTATCTTCAAACAGATGAATGAAAGAGTTCTTGTTTTTAATCTTCTTTTTTTACCTTCAGATGGGTGGGTGGGAGGGTTTTTAAAAGTAGTTTTTATTAATGGCACTATTTGTTCCTTCCTGATTGGAATTCTGAACTCACACATATCAAGTAGTTACATAGATGACTCTTCCTACAGATTTCCAATCCAAACATTGATCTCATGAGCTTCTACATGGGTTCTACATTCTTGGCATGGACTCTACATATTGGATTGGATGAATGGTAATCCAACAGTATTCAAAAAATCCATTTTTCTGGTATGGAGTCATCGCGTTATCATGTGACTGGGTGACAGGTTGAGCTGTGTAAACGCGAGCGACCAAACAAGTAGTTTCTGGTCGGCGCGTGGGTGATGACCTGCCACACGCGTCGTTTCTTCGCCTGTTGCAAATCGGAACGTGGCACTCTTTTTGGTGGGAGGCGATTTGAGTTGAAACTTGCCCTGTTGGCGGGGTCAACGTCAGAAGTCGGTGAGCGGGACGCGAGACGGTGAAGGGAAAGTATGTGGAAGTTTTCTCCAATAATTGCCAATGTTTTTGGGTCAACACTGCAATAATGAACGAAAAAGCGGTTTATTTTCTCTAGGCTGTTCAGAGCTCAGCGACAGACTTGCCCGTCGAATGCGTCTCTGAGATGAAGCAAAGTTTTTGGCTGCAAAACTCAAGTGTGGCGTTGCCCCGCATCCATGCACCGCCAGGATCTGTTCTCAAGTGTGGCGCAACGATGCCAGCACCGACAACAGCGACCGCAGCACAGGAGCACAGTTGCATTTCCCTAGTCTGAATGCCTTGTCACTTTTCATCGGAATCCTTGGTGACGTGATTTTCAGCTTGCTTGTCCCTCCAGACCGCCCTCTAGCAAATCGCTCTCTTCCGGTGTGAAAGGATAGTCTCCTCAGGTCGCATGATGCTTCTTGTTAGTCTCCAGCGCTCTTCCGCTTTTGCCAGGCCGACTTTGCCTTTGCTCCGCAAAGCTTGCTAGAGATTCGACCATTTGTCGGGTCACAAGCATCTCTTCGCCGCACACCGTCTGTAAGACTCGATGTTGGAGAGAGCCATTTATCACCACCTGGCACCTGACTGCAGGTGTGCTTGGCAGCTGAGATGCACACAGCCCAAATCCACACAGAAAAGCTCCAGGGAGTTGCAAAGGTCATATCAGTGGTCAATGAATGCACTTCAGTGTTTCGCTCTCTTCATCTGCAAACCGAGATTAAAGACGCAAATTATTGCTTCCTTCTCCTTTCTTTCGCGTCACGAAGGAGATCGGGCCATTGCACCACAGGCACGACTATTTTCCAGAAAGTCTGATCATAGAATCGTCCTCTCCAATCAGGGTGCAGAACAGGGATTTCTGGGAATCATCCTTTTTAGTTCGAGATTCATCGGCGAATCCGAAGTTGAAAACGGCCCAAGACCGCTACCCTCCATCAACTGCGCCTTTGTGGAAGCACAGCGACCCCTCTTGAAAAGCTTTGTCTCCCAGGCCCAGACTGGGTTCAGTATGCACATGCCGCTTTCCAGCGTTATGTTCGTAGATGCATTCCAGACTCCAGATTACGAAAGTGTTTCGAAACCGAGGGATCTCCGGCCATTCACAGCTACTCGGGACAGGTTTTCCTCTCACTGTTGAGGCAGATTTGTTACAGATTGTTGAGGTCGGCCTTCCATGCAGCAGCATCCATCAATGATCAGGCCCTTTCTCAGGCGGGGGTTGAACCCATCTGGCGGGGATTGGATGGGAAAATCTTTCTATCATCCCAGAGTGCCATTCGACCTCAATAGTCCCCACCAGGCTGCGGAAACATAGAGCCGCTGAGCACGGGCAGAATATCCTCCACGGCGTCCCGGGGAGACCCAATGTTCATCTCTGAATTGTGATGCCTCCTTTTCCTTGTCCGAATTTGGACGGCAGGGTTTGTGAGAGGGTACAGGAAGCCCTCGGGGGTTATCATTTTCCAGGATCCGCCCTGCTGGGATGTGGGTTGCACTGAATGCACTGGAGGGAATCTGATCACCGAGAAAAGATTTTTTCTCTCTACATCCCAGGAATAGACACATTTGGAGACGTTTCCCTGGGCAATTCGCCTCCTTGGATCGGATATCTCCAGCACGTCCCGTGTCGTAACATACTGTATATCTCCGTTTCGTAATTTTCCATAACCGAGCATGGCGCCCTAGTGTTGCTAGAAACGCGCGAAAAAACTGTAATTAACACGTTTAGGGACGGTATGATACGGCTATGACGCACTCCTCACGGCCCATTCTCGACCAAGTCCCATGCGGCCTCCCTGCGGCCATCTGCAGGCTTCGCGAGGCGGAAGAAACTAGGGATCTTATGCATTTTGCCCAGTTCGAATCAGCAGCGTAGAGGCGAGGTTGACGCATGCGCAGGGCCACAAGCACTGGAGAGCAGTGGAAATCGGGATCAACCAGGATGCATCTTCTCAAGTTCCGTTGACAGAGCTCCCTTCAAGGGATCAGCTCAGACCTGTCCGTGTGCGGTTGTTTCTCTGGAGAAACGCCGTTTCGTTTAAGCTGCCCTGACGTTTTGTTTTTCGCTTTAGGCCTTGCCTCTCGGAAGGTGGAAAAAGGCTGTTAACTAATTTTTCTTAAAAGAGTGGCATCCCCACCCTTGCTCTGCCGACTCGCTTTTTTTTATATATAATGCTCGTTGAGTACCACAAAGGGCCGTATTTCCCTTTCGGGCTCCTCAACGCCATTCTCACCACCACCTCTTCTCCCTCTCCCTTCTCCTCTTCTTCCTCATCCTCTTAATTTAGTTGCGTAATTCTTGGTTGATCTAATTTCTACTTCATTTCTGTTCCCCCTTTGTTCGCTGCTCCTTGACAAAGCTATATCCATACCCGCCTCCGCTCCAGCCGCCGTCATCTCATACTGTCCTGAGCAGGGCCCGGTGTGCTGAACTACGTTCGTACTTTATTGCATCGAGCTTCGATGATATATCCCTTCCGCTTCGATACGTTTTCATAATGCCGACAAGTCTCCTGCCTGCTTCCGCTGCGGCCTTTGCCCCAAGGTCTTCGCCAAATGTCGTCCTCCATCGGGTGGAGGCTTGGCTAACTGCGACTCTCAAGCGGGTGAACCGGGTAAAGCGCCCTTTGAACAATGTTGGCCAGCATACCAGGTGCCTGACAGAAACCCTGTCTTCGACAAACGCCCTTTGGAACCTCTGCTCCATCATGCTGCCCAAGGCGCCTGAATCCGAACTGCCTAAGGATGATAACCCTCTGGTGGAGGCTCTGTTCAACTATCAACTTTCCCACATGGAGGCATACGTGGTCCATGTTGACATGGTTTCGCAGAATGAAGTCGCATTCAAACTAACGCCGGAAACTATCGAGACCTTGGTCGACTACCATAAGGATGTCTTTTCTGCCGATACCGCTGCGAGTACTTGGGACTGGGCTGAGAAGGAGATTCAACTGAAGAAACTACATGAAGAGTTTGTTCAAGCCGCTAATCGATTTGTCTTTCGGACTGGCGTTCATGCACTCGAAGGAATGGAAGAAGAAGGAGCCGGCGAGCTCATTGGCGGTCGAAGTGATGATGCAAAGGCCGCCATCATGGGATTGTTTGTCCCCTTGCTTCCTCCACCACCACGAATCGTCGATGTGGTGCAGGCGACGCCACTTCTCCCAGTTCCACTCTCCCTGAAGATTGGTGGAATAGTCCGATCCACCAACCCGCCCGCGCCCGTTGAATCGTGGCAGGTAGTTCCTTCGAGCCCTAGTGCAGCCTCTACGTGTGACTCACATCAGAACCTGTGGGCTAGCATTACGATGAATGATATGCACATTCCGTCACCCACTCCGTCCCTGAGCCCGCCATTGCCTTCTACCGAGTATACTACTGCCGAATACTACAGTGCTCCAATGACGACAGCCGCAATGGCGCCTCTCCTTTTGCCAAGCATGTTTTTACAGCAACAATGCAGCACTACAGCCGGTATGGGAGGCTTTGGGTGGAATGATCGCATTGTCGACTTCGCCTTGCCGTACGGAACGACTATGTAACCAGGTCCAAAACGACCCCGGCGCCTATAGACTTCATACCCGCCAACGCTGCGGAATTGGGCGGTCCATGCAAGTTCAACAATCTCGACGACCACCCATACACTCCTTAAACCCGCATTTACAATACTGGCATTACTGATGGCGTTTTCTCCCGGACTAACGATCGGGTCTAGCGGATATAATCTTGGGTTTCGAACACATATACAAAGCATGGGGTTTCTTGTTTTTTTTGGTGCATTTTTTTAGCAAGCGTTGATTTTTTTTTCTTTTTTGCATGAAGAACCGGCGGGTCGGCCATTTGTCCTTTTTCTTTGCATGATGCACAACTCCCAAGCGGATGCTTCCCTTCGTTTTTTGTCTTACGTCCCGCATTTGATGTCATCAAGACCTGATGTGCCTCGCGGCTTGAAACGCTTTTCCTTTTTCATGTACCTTTCTTTTCTTATCGCATTATAGACTGGGATAGACGGCTTAAGGGAGACATGGCGATGACTTAGCTGGCTGCGTCATCCAGTCATGACCCCGCCTTCTGTTTCCCTTTCTATTGTCTGATTTCTTCCTTTCAGCACTGGCTGCTGAACTGGCAATCCCGTCCTATCGGGTTTGGGAAAGAGTCGGAACTGCGACAAATTGCGGCTTTATGTCCATCTGGCATGGAATTGTGGCCGCAATTTGGACCTAGATGCTTACAAAGGACACGACCACGGACAACGAGAAGCAGAGCGGGTGTCCATCTTCGATCTCCATCTGTGATGGTATCGCGGAAGGTGAGAACATTGTTGAATTGGAACCGCGTTCCTCGTCGCTTTCTTTCTCACAGGAGCTCTACCTCTGCCCCTCTCGGGTGTCCTCTGGCAGTGACTCGAAGCTATGCAAGATTAGGTTCATGTTAGGATCATCCCCCTTTGTCTCCGGGCTGGCTTGCTATCGTCTTTTTGTCGATGTGTATTTCCCGGAGAAGCCCGCTCACGCCTTTTCTTCGATCATCTCCACTGGATTTGGGGGGCGAAAGGAATCAGGCTGGGCGGGAATCGGATGCTGGTTTTACTTTCGTTGCTCTCACTAGTCCAAGCTGTGCTTCGGATTCTCGCATGTTGTCAAAGTAGTGTGTTTAGATACGTTAGCTAGTTTGTATATTTGAAGTCCCTAATTCATTGCAATCTAAGCTGAGCTTGTATGTCATCTCATCACCAGCCATAGTGCCTTAATATAGCCATGCAGCCCCCAAGCAGTGTTTTAAGCCCATCACATTTAATAAACGCACAGAGTTACGTGATGTGAGAACTTCCCATAAACCTGCGACTTAAGAAAATCTTCTTTCTGGTCTTTAATTCTCCCCACTAGGCACTAGAGCCTTAGCTAGTTGAGAATATCAGGTCTAGTTCTGAATCCCTTGTTCCCAAATTGACACCTGGCCAACCTGGATAGACACTCAGAGTTCTTCGAGATCACCGAGGCAGCAGATACATTCTCTCGATAGTTACATGGCCGTAACTAACAGACACCTCTAGGATTTTTGCTCGCAAGATTTTAATCCTTTCGCTTATGCCGATATATGGGGGCTTGGGACCATCTTGATGGCCAGGGGTACAAAGATTTGCAAATTAAATTGGAAAATGTCCTCTGAAGAGCTGCCACTCAAGAACATAAAGTAACTAGACCAAGGACAAACAATCAAACAAGAGCTTGGAAACTTGACAACCATGAAAAGAAAGGAAATCAAACGCGCACGAAAATAGAAACGCAGGGGATATAAAAATTCAACTCCGCCGGTAGGCCTGGGACGAATGCCGCCCATAGATCTCGAAGTGAAAAGGGGAAATGCAACCGCTTCCAAGCCTTGCCCATAAGAACGCGATTTCCCATTCCATCATGATAGCGTCCAGCGGCAAGGATGGCCTTTCTCAGCGTATTTATTTAGTTGCTGAGTGAAAGCGAGAATAGCATAGCACAGATGTTTGATGTGACCTGGTGCTCCGGGTTGAAAGGGGCCATATTCTTGCATTGACATAAACGGTTTTTTGATTTTCTTCTTTCCGACCTCATTCTGCAGGATGTAGTCAACATAGTCCTGATCATATTCGGCAATTATCAGAAAGCAGTCCCTGTTATCTTGGCTGATCATAAGTCGCCTGTTTCTTTCCATCAACTTGCGGAACCGGTAACTAGAGGATAACGGTATAACTCACTGGTATTTGCCCGATTTTGTTTTATTGTCCGGTTGAGAGTTTATCCACGCAGCCATCTGGGCGCTTTCCTGCATTCGAGGGTCGGCAGTTTTTCTGTCACGAGCCTGGACCTCTATAATGGCAAGGGAAGGAGCGTCGTCTGATGTTCCCAAAGAAAGATGCCCGTCCACACAGGCGCTGAAAAGATCGGTTGCTTTGGCTTTTCCGTTCCCTGGTACCTTAAAGTCAAACGCTTTACGTTGCGGAGTCCAGGTAGTCGCACCCATATCTGGAGCACGTAGACATACTGCCTGGAGCAGCAAAATAAGCGCGATATTCACGATATTCTCGTCATCAATCTTTTCGTATTCTTCATAGCTCCCTGACTCGTCAGGTTCGCGGACGAGGGGAGAACCCCACGGCCCCTGGGGTGCAGGAGTGGCCTCCCAGCTCTCTTCATTGTCGCTATCCGCTCCATGTTGGATCAAATTCGCGAGACGGATTTCTTCTTCTTCCGGGCTTTCTGACGTGGCGGGGGGGGGTTGAAATCCGGTTGTCTCATCCTTTCCATCTTCCGTTTCGTCGCCGCCCTCGTTCGATTTGCCACCGGCGACAATATTTTCTTGGTATCGTTCGCCAATGATTTCGTAGAAACCTTTTGCAGCATCTGCAGGTATTTCCAGACCAGATCAAAAGTTCCTAGTTCTGGTGTGCAGTCCAATCCTTTGCTAATACGATCGATGAGAGATACCCAGTCTTTATTCTTCGCCAAGTCTGCGGTGGCTGTCGTGGGGAGGCCTAAAGCTGTTGGATTGAAGTGCTCTATGGGCCTGCGATTTGGCCATAGAACCCGAAGGAAGAGATATTGGTCCTGTTCAATTTTGGACGCTGATTTGAACTTGATCCCATCGCCGAGGGACAGGTCTTCTAGCTGCCTTTCAACCACTGCCGTTTCCCATTCGCCAGGAGTAGAGACAGCCATTGCTTTCAGGAGGACGTAGGACTCGTTGATAGATAAATTGAAACGGGGATATATAAGAAGCTATAGGGTAGAGTTATCGATGAATGACTCGAACGATATGAGGGGGGATCCTAGGGGATTTTATATCGGTGGGCAGGTCAGCGGGTCGACAGGCAGAAAGCTAGGGGAGTGCTGGTTAATTGGGAGCCCATAGGAAAGCCCAAGGCCTGAGCTCACCGAGTTCTTCAGGGTTCTCAATACGAGTATGTTCCAGTAAAACTGCCCGGTGAGCTTCTGCCCGTTGACCCGCTGATACTCCGAAGTGCCTCATTTCAACCTGGCGGCTAAAGTTTGAAAGTTGTTCATTGGGCAGGACTTAGCAAATCAGGCCAGCCTTGATTCGCAGTCTTATTGAGTGCCCATGCCACTCTGATATCAAACAAGGAATGGTCCGCGGACTCGCAGCAATAGTGCCCCTGGCCACCCCCAAAAACGAATGATCACATATCAGAATATTATGATTATCCATAGTTGAGCGGGCGGCTCGACCTTTGAGGCTTGCCCATTGGGCTACCTCCAAATGTTTTCGTGGCTACCGTGGGTCCAGAGCCTGGAGCCCATCATGTTGCTGTGCCGGTTGAAACCTCAATCTTTAAGGATGGCCCATCATAGCGCAGCGGTCCGAGCAAGAGGCCCAACCATTGGCCACGTCCAGAAAGCCGCTCATGAGAATGAAACCGTGCGAAGCTGGATAGTTGGGGATGTCTCATGGTGAACGAGCGGCTAGGTGACCGGTCGAGCTCATTGGACTGCCCTTCGGCCCTTGGAAACTTATTGATGCCAGCAGTTCCATTGACAGCCAGGGCGAGACGTCCAGGCGCTTGGAACGCTCTCGATAATTGGATAGCCTCAAGGGAAGCGCGCGGCAAGGTGAGGGGTTCGCTGCGGATCATCCAATTGCGCGAATCGAGACCACGCCGTCAGGATCTGGCTCAATGAGCGAGCAAGCATGGTTGTTGTGCGGCGTGTGCTGCTGCCTATGTAGTGTTCGTGTCGTGAGGTCCAGAAGGAAAATGTGACTTGGAGTTGTTGCTACGGAAACCGCCGCGGACTCTTGGATGCAAGTTGGACTAGCACCGTTTCCATAGTCAGGTATATATTCTCCCATCTCGATTTCTTTCTGATTCATTTCGACCATTCTTCTGCTCCTCACACTTCTGGCTTTTCTCTAGTACTATATTACGATTTATTTCTTCGCTATTTAACCTCCTTGTTAGCTACTGACGATGTTCCCGTGCAGGAGTTCAGAGACAAACTCCAGAAACTGCTTGACGATGGAGGCGTCGATACCGAGACCGCACAGGTGCTCTTCCGACACTACGACATTGTCGAATGTGTTGATATGCTCTACCTCCGCATCCGCAACCCGGAGAAAGCTCGATATACGCCTGAAGAGGCAAAGGCCGTGAACGTCCAAGTAACTTCATGGAACGAACAGAAGCCAATCTTCTTCCAGCAAATGTCGGAGCGCGACTTTGAATCATACGACTTGATATCTCCTTTTGAGGTACGCTCTTTGTTCAACCGTGACAGCGAAATAGAGTACGTTTCTTACGTCCATTCAATGCTGGGATCATCCATACTCGGTTCAAAGCATCGCCAAGATCAAGATGACTTGCTTGACCACACTGGATGGCACTCAGAAAGGTGAGCGTGAAATTTGTTTTGTGCGGAAAAGGATTGTAGCGCTAACAACGTCGAAGAAATACGTGGCGTCGAAAATCCATTTTAGACACTGCACATCCCCGCCGTGGAGAGAGCGCGTATGGCTGGCTTGCCGCCGAAATGCTGGGCAGAAAGGATGTTCCGCATACGATCGCCTACTCATTGCATGAGTGCCATGATTCAGACCACATCCTACGAAGCGAGTTAATGATTCTACTGAGAATCATCCAAACGAAGAGGAGGCGCCCCGAATGGTACCCTCATGATCTCACACCTGTAAGTGAAACAGCATCAGACTTTCCTTTCCTCCTCCCCCTTTTCTTCTTTTTCTTCTTCTTCTCCTCTCTCCGGGACTCTAGCTAATTTCAGGAATAGGTTCTCTTGGTCTCCATCAGGGCCTTTGCGTTTCGTATCATGGAAGGCTACTTTGACGGCTCAAAGCTTGTCATCAACATGAGCGATGCCATTCCTGTGAAAGTGGGAGAAGAGCAAACCTCACAGCAGAAAAAGGTTAATGGGGTTCTGAGGTGGATCGGCTCAAAGCCGGTTGGAGATACTTTGAGGTTCAAGGCGCCTTTCAAGGATTATTAGCGTCACCATGAAGCGTTCCAGAATGTATTGTGGGCTTGCTGTGCATGATAGTTTTTGATATTCTTTGGGAACTGGCGCTGTGCTGGAGTGCGACTGGTGTGACGGACTGGGACTCTCTTTCGGGCGGCATTTAACCCTTTCTTCTGGCCTAAGAGCAGTATGGCGGAGTGGTCCCTTTGGGGTCTGTCGGGATATGTATGGAGGTTTCATGGCGTCTGATCGGCTTTCCTTAATGAATTGATTTTTCTCTTTTACCTTTGATGAATCCCAGGTGTGGCCCGTCATGAGTCAGTCTAAATCCGGGACATCCTGATATTGCGAATCAAAGGAGAGTATTGAAAGCTCTTACACCACAGCGGGGCCCTCTCCACAGCGATACCATTGTCGCTGCTTACGAGGATGACTCGGCCGTATACATTAATAAGTAACAGGCTTGTAGCATCACCGTGAGACCCGATACCATTCGGGATCCCTATGCAGATGCAAATTCCACAGATCTATGTCCACAAAAAAGGCATTATCGTGACTTCAGCGCAGGGTTATTGCGGCCGTTCTGACTGGACAGTGATCTGCTGTGTTTACTCAGATGTTTTGGCATAGCGTCACGTTGGTAGAGATACTTCAAGTAGCCCCTGAAGCGAATGTAGGGCATCTGGGGACCAAGCTGCTCGGATCTAGAGTTCATGAATCTCTCAGGTATACTCTTTCAAAAGTGGCCAGTTGGAATAAGATGCAATCATAAATGCGTAATGAACAAGAGTTAATAATTCTGTTCCTATGTATGCGTGAGCACTACAAGTACCCTAGATTATAGCATGCACTAGTAAAATTCTGGGTGAATAGAGCAATATGAAGGAGCCGACACGACGAAGTGTTCATGATTGGGGTAAGTCCAAGTCTACCACAATCGGAGAATTGAACTTTTTGCCCCCCTTGTGCGGCCAACTAGTCGCCAAAATGGCCGCATTGACGATACACGTCTCGTTTCTCTGCCAGCCATCGTTGTCGAGACGGCTCCCGCGGCATAAATCAATCGTCGACTGCTTTCTGCTTTGTTGCCCCGGCAAGCTCCCAACTACTGTGTCACGCTCTTCGTTAGATTCGTTAGCCCAGTGTACTCGGTGGTAACCTCGACTTTCATGGACATGGCCGCAGACCGCCAACCTAGGGCGTACCTCCCCTAGCCGTCTTCGGAGAGCTTCGCAGCCCACAGACTTTCCTTTTCTAATGTCGAGATGATCTTCCGGTGGCGTATGCGTTATCAAAACGTCCGTGTCTCCCGGTATATCGTCCCATAGAGAGTTGGCTTGATCGGGACGGTACCCGAAGCCCCAACCCTCGAGGAGCGGCGAATATGGTGAGCCAAATACTTTGAAAACAGACTTGGGGCCATTTGGTTTTGCTAAACAAATTTCTTTTGCTTCATGGTTCAAATAGACGAATTGGGATGACATGTCGCCTTCGAAGTACATGGTTGGTAGTTCCCGTGGCCTATCCGTGGAGGGCAGTCCGTTATTTTCAGGATAGTTTGGGTCGAGAAGGATATCGTGGTTCCCTTATGTTTGGCGAAATATTAGTAGACCATCACCTTAGACGCAGCCATGCCGCCGCCGCCACAAGCAAAGTCAAGGGCCTGCACACCAGCGATGACAATCTTTACTTCGAAATCAGCCGCTGAAATCCATTTCAAGGATCTGTCCAGCTCTTCTGCAGACCCTCTGTTGGTGATATCCCCCGCATGAATCAAGACGTCCCCTTTAGGGAGCCGAAAGCCGGCGTCTGCTGTGCTGTATCCGTGGGTATCCGAAACGCAAACAAAACGCGTGCGCACCATGGTCGAAGTTCAAGGTTTTGCATGCCAAAGACAGCGCTAGAAAGCCGTATAAAGAAGGGTATATAGTTCTAAATAAAGCTTTGGTCGTCCCCTCCCTCCGACTATCTAATCAAGAAGTTGTGGATAATCACGTCTGGCCATCGTCTGGGGACAGAGACCAAAGGCAGCCTATGTTTTGATGGGTAGTGCCGTGTCTGCTCCCTATCTTGTCTGTTTGTTTCCATGCTTCCAGCGTCGTGGATTGTCTTTCGATCTCTGATTCTCCGGATCAAAGTTGAGGTGAGGTTGCGATGCCAAGCCCACCACGTGATCAATTGACTCTGATTGGACACATTAGGGCTGGCCCCCATCGAGCGGCACACAAACGAGCACTCGCTTAATTAAGCTCGAGAGGGCGACCGATCCGACTTCGCGGCTTGAACGATCACAACGACAACGAACTTCGACAACTCACAGCAACACGGTGTATCCTAGAGCAGAGCTCTTCCCTCTACCCTGGATATTTGCTTCGTGAACCGGTGACAGATCAGGATGTCCACTTTCGAGCCTGTGGTGCGTTGCCAACCCTCTCACTTTTGCTACCCTGCGTGGACGTGGAATCGCTGACTGAACCCCCATTACTCTATAGGTCGTCATTGACGGCAAGGGACATCTCCTTGGTCGCCTCGCCAGCACCGTTGCGAAGCAACTTCTCAACGGCCAGAAGATCGTCGTTGTGCGCTGCGAAGCCCTCAATATCTCTGGCGAATTCTTCCGCGCCAAGCGTACGATCAACCCTTTTTCTTCTTGAACATTGACGCTCTATCTTGCGTTTTCGAAAGAGCCGAAGCGATTTACATATCTTGGGATGATCATTGACTGACTGCGACCCGAAATCACAGTGAAGTATCATGCCTATCTTCGCAAGATCACTCGTTACAATCCGACACGAGGAGGTGAGATTTGAGCGTTGGACTTCTGGAGGAACTGTACCCATATACTAAACCCGAGATCGTAGGCCCATTCCATTTCCGTGCCCCATCCCGAATTTTCTACAAGGCCGTTCGAGGCATGATCCCACACAAGACCCCCCGAGGTGCTGCCGCCATGGAGCGATTGAAGGTTTTCGAGGGTGTCCCACCACCATATGACAAGAAGAAGAGAGTTGTTGTCCCTCAAGCTCTCCGAATTCTCAGACTGAAGCCCGGCCGCAAATACTGCACAGTTGGACGTTTGAGTCATGAGGTTGGCTGGAAATACCAGGATGTTGTTGCAAGGTTAGTTAGATGCGTAAACTGGATTGTTTCTTTACGGGTACGTCGCAGCACTTATGCTAACTGGGTTATTTTCCGTCGCAGACTCGAGGAGAGACGCAAGGCCAAGAGCTCCGCATACTACGAGCGCAAGAAGGCTACCCGCAAACAACTTGCACAAGCCCAGCGATCGGCCGCAGGTCAACAGGCGAAGGAGCAGTTGGCTTCTTTCGGTTACTAGGATACCTCGGTGGGTTTTGTGTGTTGGGTGTGAAATTATCGGTGCAAATGTGGACATGGACGAGCGAGCTGGACGGGCAATCCGATCGATTTGTACACATTCTACCATCAGGAGGGCCCTTTTATGACTCAGGGAACATCATGATGGGAGTTGGGAAATCCAAAAAGAAATTGATTTCTACGTTATGGCGTCGTTAGGGATGAAGACTCGTTCATAGCTCTTACCACTCTATCGCTCCAAACCCCTTAATCAAGATGATGTTTCCAAGCGAAAGTCATAAAAACATATGCTTAAAGGATATCGGCACACATTCCCGCTTTCCTCCCAGATTCTTACTGTAGCCGGGTATGCTCTGTCGGGCCAACGGACTGTGGGGAATCCTGTGGGCGGCACTGGAGTTTGGCCGTCCCAGTCAGTGAAGTCGGGTTATTTTCGGGGAGAATAGAGTAACTAGCATCAACCCACAGAGGCTCAGGAAAATAGACATATAAATAGCCATGCGCCCCTGGGACCGTCTTCCGGTACCTTTAACAGGCGATACCCGTGAATTTACTCCTTTCCTGTCCTTACAATCCTGCTCAACATGTCCGGCCCTGCGTCGCGTCTGCGGAGTTTAACCGCGCAGCTTCTCCACACCCCCCCAGAGCGCCAGCAGAATCTGAATAGGCATACCCTTTCTCCAACGTTCTTCCTCCCTCGCGCTGCGGCGATCGAACCTGATGTAGGTCGGCTTCGTTGCGGCTGACTGCTGAATGTCCGCTTCCCACTATACTCGCCGGACAACTTGCTGACGATTGCGACTCCCCCACAGGCCGAGGCAATCTACCATGTTACTGCGAATAATAAGGTCTTGAGGAGGTCATACATTGAGACTGCAGACCGGGCAAGGGGGTTAGCGTATTATATCAAAAAGCATGAATATAAAAGAGTGGGCATTTTGTGTCCGAACACACCGGCGTTCCTGGAATCGATCTATGCGATCGCGGCAGCGGGGGCAGTGAATGTAGGTAAGTCGGCAATCATAAAAACTCCCGCCCCAAGTATCCTCGTCAAGCTAGTTACGGGTCAAGTGTTAATGGTGCGCCCCTAGCTGTGAACTACAGACTGAAGCCGGAAGATATCACGTATATCTTCACGCACTCCGAAGTTGATTTCATCATCGTGGATGAAGAGTATCTACACCTGCTGGACGGGTTTCGAGAGGGTCGACCAGGCTTCCCTGTGATTGTTGATACTGACACCGATGCGACTGAGGGCGAGCTTAGCGGGCCCTTTGATGCGGCGATTCTAGAAGGCCTTAAGCATGACACGGAAGCAGGGGGCCATGGGTGGAATGGCCTAGAAACACATGCTGAAGATGAAGAGTCGCTAATCGCGTTGGCATACACGAGTGGGACAACCGCGAGGCCAAAAGGCGTGGAGTATATTCATCGCGGGTGCTACTTGGCGGCGGTTGCGAATGTTATCGAGTCTGGATTGAACTACCACCAGGGCCGGTGCCGGTATCTCTGGACGCTTCCAATGTTTCATGCCATGGGTAAGAATCATGCGGGATTTCTTCCCCCATCTGGTTTTGGTATTAAATCTGGCTTCTAGGTTGGACCTTTCCTTGGGCTATTACGGCCGTCCGAGGGACTCATTACTGCCTCAGGAAGATTGACTATCCGCAAATCTGGCGACTGTTGAAAGAAGAGAAAATCACTCATTTCAATGCTGCCCCTACTGTGAATACAGTCCTCTGCAGTTCGAAAGAAGCCGAGAGGCTTCCGTCACCCGTGCGAGTTACCGTGGCGGCGAGCCCACCCACACCTCATCTTTTCGAACAGATGATGGGTTTAAATCTTCATCCAGTCCATGTGTATGGAATGACTGAAACCTACGGGCCCATCACCAAGGGCTACCATATGCCAGAATGGGATGCCTTACCGGTGAAGGAGAAATATGAACGGATGGCTCGACAAGGCCACGGCTTCGTCACCAGTCTCCCCGTGAGGGTTATAAAGACTGAGGTCCCGGAAGGCACTGTGATCGACGTGGAGCGCAACGGCAAAGAGATTGGTGAGATCGTTTTTACGGGCAATATTTGTGCTAGAGGATACTACAAGGATCCGGAGGCAACGAGCAAACTCTTTGCGGGCGGAGTTCTCCATTCCGGGGATTTAGCGGTCTGCCACCCAGATGGTTCAATAAAAATTCTGGATAGGGCGAAAGATATCATCATTAGCGGTAAGCCGCAGCTCACGCGTTTGATGCTGACGATGTCGCTAATTTGCAATCCTAGGAGGCGAGAATATTTCCTCTGTAGCCCTGGAGGCTATGCTGGCCACCCATCCGGATATCCTCGAAGTAGGGGTCGTCGCAGTTGCGGATTCGCACTGGGGAGAGCGGCCTAAGGCTTTTATCACCGTGCAGCCTGGCAGGACATTGCGGGGAGAAGATGTGATAGAGTGGGCGAAGCATACCAGCGGAATCAGTCGGTTCATGGTCCCAAGAGAAGTCGAGGTTCTCTCTGAGCTTCCCAAGACGAGCACAGGAAAGGTCAAGAAGAATGTGCTCCGGGAATGGGCCAAGGGCGCGGATCGTAACCTCGTGAAATAGTAACCGTTTAGCGTATATAGCCGGGGTATTTCTCTGACTTTTGAGGCCGGAGTCACTGCTCTCGAGTGTATAATAAAAATAAATGCTGGTATTGCCTGACATGATCATCCAGCCATGGACGCTCCATCACATGGCGGCTGTCAGTGTCAGCGCGAGTGTGCGAGTGACATCAAAGTGTTTGGCCCACACGACATCCCGCTTCTACGGCCATCTTCCTCCAGCGTCCCAACATCATTGCTGCTGCTTCACTCTTCCTCCTTGGAGCCCTCGCTGTTTGTGAGGCTTGATGGATACACTACTTCTGACAGCTTGAGAGTCCTCTCGACCTGCTTCTCCTGCACCCAAGCCCAGTTTGCCCGCAGTCGGCCTCACTAGCTAGTCGCCCGTCCTCTGCGATCCGAGTATGAAACACCCCTAAAATCTCACTCTCTTCTCACATTCACCTCTTCACCTCCCATCGGCCGGCCCTCGAGTTCAGTTCTTGCTAATAACCTTTGCGTCTTTCCTTCCACCAGCGCCCCGTCAATCCTCAGGCACTTCCCTCCCGCATCGAACAGCCTCAGCCGCGCTTGACACACTGCCGTTTCAAACGACGACCACTTGGAGACGGCGCCTACCTTGGACAGCTCGCCCGTATAAACAGTGGCCGTCGATCTGCCATCCTCCAAACCCAGCATTCGGTCGTCGGGCCAGCACAGTTTCGCGAGTCACGTCTGTTTGGCTTCTCCCACCCGCTGATCGACGGAGTATCCCCTCCACCCCACGCCTACTCCCGGGTTGTCGAAAGGCGCGAAATAAAACCCTTTAATTCAGCCTTGCATCGTGAAGCCTCTTACATCGATGAGAATGTTTCGCTCACGGGGTCCCTTGCGGCACTCTGTTGGAGCGGGCTCCGAATCTTCCTCGTCAACCTCACCCGAGCGACCAGTCGACGATGACACAGATTTCTTCATCCAAGCAAATGATTCACAATCCTCTGTGGGCGTGGGAACCTTACGGGACTTCCAGGTCGATGCTGAACAGGGCGCAACTCTACCGCCCATTTACCGTCTTCCCCCCGAGCTCCTGATTGCCATATTTGCGAAGCTCAACTCGCCTACGGACATGCTGAACTGTATGAAAGTCTCCCAAAGGTGGGCGGCACATTGCGTGGCAATACTGTGGCATCGGCCGTCTTGTAATACTTGGGAGAATTTGAAGAGAGTGGCGGGCGCCATCAGTACTCCAGAGAGCTATTTCCCGTACTATGAGCTGGTGAAGCGGCTGAACCTTTCATCCTTGAGCTCCAAGGTTAATGATGGAACGATAATCTCGTTCGCCCAATGCAAACGAATTGAAAGGCTGACGTTGACCAACTGCTCGGCGTTGACAGATGCCGGTGTTTCTGACCTCGTTAACGGGAATGGTCATCTTCAGGCGCTGGATGTGACAGAATTAAGGAATCTTACAGACCATACACTGCATATCGTTGCGAGGAGCTGCCCTAGGCTACAAGGCCTGAATATAACCGGCTGCACCAAAATAACTGACGACTCATTGGTGGCCCTAGCAGAAAATTGTCGTCAGATTAAAAGGGTAGGCTTTTTCCTCCTCTAAATGTCGGGACTTGACGATTAATTTAATCCTCTTTTAGTTGAAACTCAACGGCGCTATACAAGTCACTGATCGAGCAATTCAATCGTTTGCAATCAATTGTCCGTCGATGCTTGAAATCGATCTACACGGTTGCCGACTCATAACCAATTCTGCCGTAACAAACTTGCTTTCGACACTTCGGTATCTCCGAGAGTTGCGCCTTGCTCATTGTGCCGATATCACTGAGCAGGCATTCCTTGACTTACCAGACGGAATAATTTTTGATAGTCTTCGGATCCTGGATCTGACAGCCTGCGAACATGTGAGAGATGCGGCTGTGGAGAAGATCATCAATTCTGCTCCAAGATTAAGGAATCTAGTCCTTGCGAAATGCAGATTTATCACTGACCGGGCGGTTCAGGCTATATGCAAGCTGGGCAGGAATATACACTATGTCCATTTGGGTCACTGTTCAAACATCACCGATAACGCCATGACGCAGCTAGTTAAATCTTGTAGCCGAATTCGGTACATTGATTTAGCTTGCTGCAACAGGCTAACGGACATCAGTGTACAGCAATTGGCAACACTGCCAAAGTTACGGAGAATAGGCTTGGTAAAGTGCCAAGCTATCACAGATCGCGGTATCCTTGCTCTAGCGAAACCGCGCATTCCACAGCATCCTCTTGTCAGCTCTTTGGAACGAGTCCATCTGAGCTACTGCGTCAATTTGAGCACTTACGTAGGTTTTGTTGCACTACTATATACCGAATGTGATGCTAATTCATCTACAGGGTATTCACCAATTACTTAACCATTGTCCCAGACTCACGCACCTCAGCTTAACTGGGGTGCATGCCTTCTTACGAGAAGAATTAACCGCCTTTTGTCGCGATGCTCCCCCGGAATTTACGCCTCAGCAACGAGAAGTGTTTTGTGTTTTTAGCGGTGGAGGAGTTAATCGATTAAGAGATTTCCTCAATCAAGCCGCAATAGCGTATCATCGTGAGCTAGAGGAAGGAACAATGTTTGATGACGCCGAAGAACCAGATGAGGAAGAAGGACAAGTTACAGGCCTCATGAACGCCACAGGTCTTAATGACGATCAGGATAGAACTCTTGACGATGCTGCGACTCCGATCCAAGGCTAGTATAACCACGGCACATTGCTATTTCGACGAGAAATTCGAAATATCAACCCGGACATCTTATTAGTCGACGTATTCCCACGATAGACGTCGCCTAGGACCATTTACGAGGCGCATCTACATTCGGCCAAAGGTTATCAACCACCGCCGTGTGCATAGATATCGGATAGCAAGAACATTCGATCGCCAGGCACTTGTACTTTTACATGCGAGGGGCGGTCCATACAATGTTACTCGAGTATGATCCTCAAATCTACCATGAGAAACCCAACAAGTACTACTTCACTATGCCTTCCCGGTTCACTCCATTCCTCGATATCTTTTCGATTTTTGCATATGCTTTTCAAACACAATCTCCTTTTGTATTATTTTTTTCTCAGCTTATTTCGTTCGATGCCCTCCGGGCGCTCAAAACGTTCTTCACGCTAATGACTTGTTAATGCGAGATTTTAGCCGCAATTCCCAAGTTTAGCATAAGCGCTGTATTTTGTTCATATGATGAAATTGAAACACAAGATCACATCGTCTTTATATCCGTCGTCGATATTCTTAAAGTCATTCATGTCCACATTTTTGACAATGCCAATCGACAGTATCATGCGTACAAATAGATTGATGCCCATATACTCAGAAAATCCATCTCTGGGAGTCTTAAGAGTGCTATTCGACATTGATCATAAACTGGTCAATATCGGATTTGAAATTGGTGTTATGGTACAATAATGGCACGGACGAGGCCTGTCCCAAAAACAGATATAATTATTGCGAGACGGACAACATACCATCCAGGAGTAAAGCGCAAACAAAATTTCAAGATTTCGCAGCCAATAACCGGAACCAGAGAACAGGGCAGAACACAAGTGTATTAAGTAAAAATGGAAAGGAGAGGGATGGATGTGATAAAACCCATTGCTTCAAAACCCACGACTCGCTTCCACAAGCCCATCTTGCCACTTGGAAATGGCCACCCATGGCGGTGCGTACAATCGAAGCTCATCTAGCGCTGGGATGGCTCCCAGCTCATTAGCATCGCTCCACAGACACACGACTCTCCCATGTAACTCGTCCATACCCTCCTCGTTCCATTGGACGTCTACCGCCCAGGCATTCTCCCACGTCCTGCTCCATAGACGGATTTCGGAAATACCTTGGGGAACGGTGTGTGGCATCCTCTCATCTAGAGCGGAGCCAGGGATGGAGTAGTCGCTGATCGGATGGTTGAATTTGATCTTGCAGGCGCGGGTGTTTTTGCCGGTGATGTGGAAGCGGGCGTGGCGAGTGGCTTTGTCGCTTTTGCGGTTCTGATGCTCAGAATGGGAAATGTTAAAGGATAGCCATTTGTCACTGGGCGTGTTGGGTACAACTTTGGGCGCGAGCCCTGGCCAGGAGCATTTGAGGCGTCCGTCAATCGGCTTGGAGTCGCATGACATGATTTCTTTGGAGGCACTAGGTATTGAACTGATGATATCTCTAACGTATGATTCGACAGCGATAAGCGAAACTTCATTCCGGTTGGTATCTAGGTCGAGTTCTTGGGCAAAGAACACCTTCAGGCGATTTTCGGCGGAGAATGGAAATGCGACCAGGTTGTAAGTAAGTGTGCCGATAGAATCCACCCACATTGG